ATGTATGTATGTATGTATGTATGTATGCATGCATGTATGTATGTATGTATGTATGTATGTATGTATGTATGTATGTATGTATGATGTATAAGTACGTAAGTTGTGTGTATCGTATATAGTTGCTTTGTTGTTGTTATTTGAACCAGTTAACGATACATTTGCGCAAGATATCCGGGCGTTACAATGTTCTTCTTCTTCATTTGTATTAATGCACCTGGATGGATGGATTGGTTGACTGATTGAAAGATGGATAAAGATAAATAAATAGAAGTATTGTTTATTGGACAATATTATTTTGGTTAAATTATTTTTGTTTTGATTAGTGAATTTTTTTCTGATCTAAATGTTTTTTAAAGTTTTTCCATTGTTTAAGTTTTTTAATTAATTAATTTAAATAAATTAAAATACATAAATAAATAATTAATTATTTAAAGAGTTTCAGTTTTTCCATAGTTTAATTAATTATGTATTATGATTTATTAATTGTTTATTTATATTTTTGCTCTGAACCGGATTATTCCACCACATTCTGGATTAAATAACATCTTAGTTCTCGTATCAAATAGATCCCAACATCCCAACGGCCACACCATCACTAACATCACTTGCCATCAATTGAATTTTATTTTTCAAATATAAATTTATTTCTACCTAAAATCGCAGGTTAAAATTTGTCAACTGCTGGTTAAATTGAATTGAAACCAAAATTATATTACTTAGTTTTAAAAGAAAATAAATTTTGGCTTAGATTTTGGCTTTTTTGCTGAATTTATAACAAATATATTTAGTATTTAGGTTATTAAATTTGTATTTAATTACTGCAAATTAGTTGATTTAATTATAATTATTATCGCCGTCATCATCATAATCTTTATCGTCATAATCATCATCGTCATCGCCATTAACCTTGAATCTGTCAAAGAACGAGTTTGCTCTTCTTAGAGATTTCTTAGAGCGTTTGGATAATTTTAATGTTTTTTCCTGTTTCATAAAATTGGCAGACATCTTACATTTAAAATATTGTTTCCTTGTTGAATGATCAGCTTGTTGCCAATGTTAGCATTGTCTCACCCTGCCAGAGTTAAATACACTCACAACATTTGCAACCTTGATAAAATCAATAACTACGTAAATGTCAACTACAAACATAACAGCTGCTTTTATACAAACGCCAACGACAACTACATAAACGACAACGACAGTACTGACAGAGACGACAGCCACATCGTAAAACAGTACGCCATCGCAATCATCCGAAAAACTGCCGTCAGCCCGAAAGAATGGGACAAACAAAAAGTCGCATAGTAAGTACGATGTGTGGGCACGGCAACGACAGCGAGTCCACAGAAGCAACTCCAAAAAATAAAATACTAGCGAACAAAAATAAAAAACTGAGCAACAACAACAACGGAAGCAACACAAACGTTAACACCGTCAACAACAACAACACAAGGAGTGAAATTGCAAGGCAGGATAGCTTTACGGTGCAGAAAAACTTAATCAAGTGTCCTAATATTAAGAGCGCTGATGAAAAAAATGAAGACGATGGTGATGATGTTGACGCTGTTGTTGTTGTTGCTGTTGGTGGTGATTACGTTGCAAATAAAGCCAATGATGACAAGCGTGTTGACAGCAGGAATATTGTTCCAGCAGCTGATGATGTTGTGGACAAAAATCTGATAAAAGTGGCCGACAATGCTGCCACTGAAGCTAACGCCTGTCAAACTGTTGTCGTTTTTAAAAAAAATGGTTCTAGTGATGTGGTCTTGCTTACAAATAACAATACCAAATTACCACAAAGTAATAACACCAACGGCTGCCGAATGTTAACTAACGCCACCACGTCACATGCCACGCTGACGACAACGACGACGACGACTGCCAAAAACAACAACAAAGACTCCAACACCATCGACAACAACACAAACAACAGCACAAATAACAACACAATCAACAACTGCAAACTCGCCACATCTAGTAACGACTCTATGAAGAGCAGATCAGGCCAGCCCTCCAAACAACTTTCACGACACCACGTCAGGTAAAGCAGAGAAACCGTGCAATGACCATTCTTCAACGTTGTTAACTGTCAGATTGTGCATTTAACACCCGCATGGTTTTACGTTGTACGCTTTTGTTTGTTGTACAGTTTTGTGTCGTACATCCGTTTGTTGTACAGCAGTCTGTTGTACAGTGCTGTATAAATCTAAATTGTATATTCGCTTGTTGTGTTCACGTTGTACACTTATTTCATGACAGACGTGTGTGTTGCAGTTGAAAACATTCTCTTGTTTACGATCGAACAATTGCCTACAAAACAATGAAAACTGAATAAAAATATAAATACCCTTTATAAGCTTCTTTGTAAAGCTTTGTTGTAAGTACGTGAATATATAATATTATGTAAATATACATGTTTGCACGTTACAATGGATGTCTGTTAAACATTACACATGCTTATATGAGAGTGTACGATTAATGATTTTATATAGTGCGTGTTTGTGTAAAAATGTCCTGTATATAGATGGACATGGATAAAATATTAACACAGTAAGGTGTGAAGGATGCAACGAAGACTACGTACTGAAAGATATGATTAGCATTGATTTGTATGTTGTTGTGGTTTTTATCGCAACTTTTAATGTGATTGGTGTGGTTGTTGTGGTTGTTGTAGTGGTTTTTGTGGTGGTTGTTGTTGATGCAGTTGTTTACGTAAATTAATTTTTGTTGTTAACCAGAAAATATCAATAAAGAAACGTGCAAAAAAATAAATTCAGTCAAAAATAAATTACATTTCAAATGCAAAAATTAGTCGATATAGATCTAGATGGCGCCGTGCGAAAATTATCTCCTATATTGATTTAATTGACTCGGCTGCGTTTAATACTGTTATAAAAACTTGCCGGATTATGCTAGAAAATGAAATTAGTTAACTAATAGATTTCCCTGACCTGTCAGTTACATGGTAACGGCTGGCCGTATACGCTTGAAAATGAAATGATGTCACCAAGGACGTTGCGCGTACAGTGCAAGTGAATGTTTGTAAACATTCGTGCGTACGCTGCATGTACGCACGTAGTACGCATCGATCATCGGCACATTGATTTTGTTTACGAGGTAGGTGTAATGAAGAAAAGTAGATGGTGTTCTTTCTGTGCATTCTGCTTGTTTCTTCCTACTATCTGTGCACATCATAGTTGTAAGTGTGTGTTTATGAAGAAATGAACACATAACCGTACATAAGTGTGTTATTCGTCATGCCATTTATTTATGTGTAGGCTTGTTAAACTTTTGCAAAATAAATTAATTAATCAAACACATCTTACTTAAATGCGTTACTTGGTGTATAGATGTTGATTTAAAAAACCTAATTGTGGATCATATTTCATGAGTTAAGTGCACACGTAACTCAGCTTATTTGTTTGAATTCTTGGCAGTAGAAAAAGAAATCATCTTAAGTTTGTTTATGCAGTACAAAAAATCTGTGTGCGTAGGTAAATGTGTAAAGCGCTGTGAACACGAGCAAACATAGGATCCCACCTTCGCACTCGAGTAAATGCGTCTCAGTGAGCACTAAACACACACCCACACACACACACACACACACACACACACACACACACACACTCATACATACACACACCCACACACCACACACACACACAAAAATACAAATATACACATCTGCGCTAACTATACATACACATCTACACTGATAATACTCACACATCTACACTAAAATTAGATTAGATACACATATACATAAAATGTATATTCATATTTACACCGTACATGCGACTGTACACTTATACACTAATCGATAATCATGCATCAGCACTAATCATGCACACTCATCTATACAAAACATTCATATCGTCACACAAATGCTTTCATGAATTTTCACTAACACACACACACACACACACGCGCACACACACACACACACATAAACATACAAACACACACGAACAAGCACAATTGAAAAACAGAAACTCGCACATAACCACAAATCTAAACACAAATATTCACAAACAAATTATATAACACACACATAACATCGGCGTCTACAAATTTAAAAAATTTTGAATTTTCATTCTAGTTTCATATTTATCGTTGTTCTTTTAATTGCGATTAATGTGCGAGCTGAAGCAATGCCTCCAATAGCAAAAATAACTGCACTTTCAAAGTAGAAAAAAGTTTTTAAAAAATGAAACAAATAAAAAATATAACCAAAAACAAACGAGGTTGCAAAAAATTCCCATCAAAACAACATCCCGCCCTCCTTACTTGAATGGAAAGCTTAAAAACACCTTTGCTGCAAAATATGTAGTTGATGGCAAGGATGAAGTTGTCGAGTTATCATTATTAAACTTTAAACGCTTGTTCATATTTTTTTTTCTTAATACGAAAACCTTCTTCAGTGTGTGGCGTTTGTTTGTGTATTTAATGATATTTGCTTAGTCTGGTGTAATTTTATTATTTTTGTGTTGTTTCAAATTCAAATTTCTCAGCTATACTGCTCTTGCGAAATGTGGAATGCTACCAAAGTAAAGATGGAGCTTTGTAACCTGTTATGAAAGTTCTAAAATGCGTGTTCATTAATTTAATTTGTGTTTAGTGTTTCAAACATAATTTCCCAAACATCAGTTATATTTGTTTGTTTCGCGATCACACTAGCAACTGAATAAGATGAGGATATATCATTCATGTCAGATCAAATTGCTTCAGATCAGTGGTTTGTGACTATTTATGTATTGAGAAAATAATAGTTCAAAATTACACGTTTTACAAACCTCAAATTTTCGAACCAGAATTCTGATTAAACAATTATTAACCAATCAGAAATTCTTAAATAACATTTCCACCTAACAAACAACGAATCCAGGTTTGACGTGGAGCACGGAGCGTTGAATCAGTACAAAGGATCGACGGGATCGTCCACCGGAAGTTCGTCATCGGGATTGAATCCTCCAGCGGCCGGAGGGTCAGCCCACCCCCAACCCAACACACCCCAACGAAGGGGGTCCTTCCTTTACCGATCCAATAGTGATTTCGAACTTTCTCCAAAGTCCGTCTCCAGAAATTCTTCCGTTGCCAGCGATCAGTAAGATTCGGTGGTTTCATTTTTTGTCAAATCAACCGATTTGTCACTCATTTCTACATTTTAAAGTGATTTTATTCAAATATAATGCAATGTTTTTAAGTTATTTTGGACTTTAATCTATGCTTATCAATTTTTCGGATGTTCACACATCCCTGAATAACTTCTTGAGTTTTTAAACTTCCATTAGGATGGCGAAGGGCGATGATGATGAATGAGGATGAATATTTCAAATATAATGTTTATTTAACACATTTAATTAATTTTCACAATTCTTCCTATCCTGTTTTATCACTTTCTTCCAGTCTGAAAATAATGATGTTAGCCTCTTTTCTTTCAATTTCTGAAACCGATTTAAACTTTATATTCAAAATGTAGTTAGTTTCTTTGCTATTATATTTATGTAGGGCCATAATTATTTCGATCATTTCTTATGAATCATTATCATTCACTTTTTCCTATACTTTTCATTACAATTTAACTTGCGTCTTTGGTTTAGGGGTTTTATTTGTTTTTTTTTCTCTCTCTCTCTCTCATATCGTTTGTTAATTCTTCTCTTATTTACTCCTTTGCCTCTCGTTCCATTTTATTTTAACATTCTGTCAATATTTGTGGGTATTTATAATTATGTGTGAGTGCGTGTGGGTAATATGTGCACAAAAACATGTTTATTCGCATTCCAAAGAAAGTTGTTTTGACAAGCGTGATGCAATTGATTGCTCAAGAATAAATACATCATACATGTATGTATGTATGTACGTACGTACGAATGTATGTATGTATGTATGTATGTATGTATGTATGTGTGTGTGTGTGTATGTATGTATGTATGTATGCATGTATGTATGTATGTATGTGTGTGTGTGTGTATGTATGTATGTATGTATGCATGTATGTATGTATGTATGTATGTATGTATGTATGTATGTATGTATGTATGTATGTATGTATGTATGTATGTATGTATGTATGTATGTATGTATGTATGTATGTATGTATGTATGTATGTATGTATGTATGTATGTATGTATGTATGTATGTATGTATGTATGTATGTATGTATGTATGTATGTATGCATGTATGTATGTATATGTTTATATATAAACTTATTTATTTATCTGTTGGTGCATCCTTAAAAAGCACTTGCATCAAAGCAAGCTATTCCGTTACATGCAAATATTCAATCAGGCACTTCGCTATAAAAGGATAAAAATAATTATAGAAATTCTCACGTAGAGTCACACATTCACGCAAACATATACAGAAGTATAAACACATACACACACATACTAAGAAGCACAAACACATATACACACATACAGAAACATAAAGACACATATACACATACATAAACACACATACAAAAAAGCACAAACACATATACACACACACACACAAATGGAAACATAAAGACACATATACATAAAGATATACATAAGCGTAAACGCTTACACACATATCACATATATAAATATATATACCCAGATGTGAACAATACAAATAAACTCCTATACTTAACACACAGAAATGTATTCACACATACAAATTCACATAAAAACATAGTAAAATATAACCACTCAAATATACTCACAAAAAAAAATATAGGCACACATACATGCAGACATAGAAATATAAAGATCCACAAGTAGATACAGAGACCTATACGTACACATGTACACATACGTACGCAAGAATCACATAAACTCACTTGTCTTCACTTGGTAACATATATCCATTCATTTATTATATGAAATGATGAATTTTTACGATTGAGACGTGATTCGGGAAAAATTAATTATACATTAGATGCAATAAAATTATAAATACAAACTTACTCTACACACACACACTGTGGTGTGTGTGTGTGTGTGTAGAGTAAGTTTGTAAAAAGCTGATTACCATTGTGTGTACATACATACAGAGATATATATTTAATTAAACTAATTTAATTTTAATTTTAATTAGTGGAGTGTGTACATACATACAGAGATATATATTTAATTAAATTGAAATATTTAAGCCAAAAATTTTCCCTCTACCCCCTCTCCCTTTAACAGACATCCCGATGACGTCATAATTACCCCGTTCGCTCAAATACTAAACAGCCTTCGAAACGTGCACAACAACTTCAAAATCATAACATCTTTCTATGGAGACTCGAGGTCTGTTGGTTTTTTTTTCAGTAATTTATTTTCTTAACTAAATTTTGATAACTTAACTTAACTAAACTTTGATAATTAAGTTTTTCATTTGATTTATTCTTCTTTCGATTAAAAAGCTAATTACCATCGTTGTTAACAAGTTTTTAATACCATTATTATCTGATATCATTATTATTATTGCCCATGTTAATACACAGTTTTACAATTTTATTTTACGTATATCTAAGTTCAAATTTTGAAACACTCAATCATTATTATCGTTAGTATAAAAACTAGTAACTTTACTTTTACTACAACCATTACTACTACAACTTTCCCTCCTTTCATAACCACCACCACTATTACTCTACTACTAACTTCTACTGCTACTACTTCTACTACTTTACTACTACCTACTACTTCTACTGGTACTACTTCTACTACTATTACTACTACAACTTCTACAACTACTACTACTACTACTACTTCTACAACTACTACTATTACTACTACTACTACTACTTTTACAACTACTATTATTACTACTGCTACTACTACTACTACTACAACTTACCACTACTACTACTAGGTACTTACATCAACAACTACCACCACTGAATAACAAAAAGTAGGCGTATGAAATTAATGCTTTCATTGAAAAGCTGGTAAAATGCACCGTTGGCGGTAGAACTGTGGTGTACGACGCGGTACAACTGCTCTAACAATGCCACGATGTAATTTGAAATATACCAATGCGTTTATGTCGCGGATAAATTAGTATAAACAGATTATTACCGTAACTATTGTTGTTGTTTTTTGTTGCTGTTGCTATTGTTGTTGTTGTTATTGTGGTTGTTATTGTTTTAACTATTGTTGTTGTTTTTGTTGTTGTTGTTGTTATTGTTTTAACTATTGTTGTTGTTGTTATTGTGGTTGTTATTGTTTTAACTATTGTTGTTGTTTTTGTTGTTGTTGTTGTTATTGTTTTAACTATTGTTGTTGCTGTTATTGTGGTTGTTATTATTTTGGTTGTTATTGTTATTTTGTTGTCGTTATTGCTACTGCTGCTTTCAGTATTGTATGGTTTTTTTTATTAATAACACTGACGAAGTTATGCTGTCATCGCTATTGCTTACTTCATAACATCACTAACATTAATACGCCTACTTTTAGCCATTTTACTACTTTTACTTCTGCAGTTACTACCAAAAACAATAATAGCAATACTGCAACTACTACACTTAATTTTACTACTCTTATTGCTGCATTTACAGCTACTACTACGTACTAGGAAAACGTGATGGCCTAGTGGTAAAGGTCACCTGGTGCTGTTTCACAATGCTTGTGGTGAGCGGGTTCGAATGCGACGAGAAGATTCCCACCTAACACATTGCTTCGTGTGTGATGCGTCGTTTAGCATTGAATTCATATGCGATTTTTGAGTCTTGTTTGTTCATCTGAACATAGGAAGAAAGTAGATAACCTTGAACTTTTTCCTACATGTGCTAATACCAATATTTATACTTTTTCCATTACTACTACTACTACTACTACTGCTATCAATTCTAGTATTTTTTTTACTAGAAGTTACTTCCAGCACTGCTACTACTGCAGTTACTGCAACTACTTCTAGTACTGCTACTGCTTCTTATATTGTTACTGCTTCTACTGCAGCTATGATACATGCACTGATACTACTACTACAACTGTAACTACTGTTGGTACTGTTAATGCAAGTGCAGCCGCTACTAATACTACTGCAGCTACTTTTCGGGCTACGATTACGACAATTATTTCTAATACTAATGCCACTACTACAAATACTATTGGCACAATTAATACTACTACTAATAATAATCATACTACTTCTTTTTCTGGTTCTGCTTATATTACTGCAGCTACTTCTAGTACTACTACTAAAGCTACTTTTGGTGCTACACATACTACTACTGCCACGAATATTGATTCTTGACGGCTAATAACTCACAAATGACAAGATGTTTATGAAGGACAGGTGCAATGTTTCTACTCTTTCTGCTTTTATTCTTTTTGTCATTGTAAAAAAAAATTATTTTTCTTTTTTTGTCATGTTTTAATAAATTTAAAAAGTAAATGTTTCTTGGTATTTTATCAACGAAACCTAATTTAATTGGTGTTTGTGTGTTGGATGGAATGGAGTGCCGGTTTTTGAAAGCGAGTTGGGTAGAGTGTTGTTGTTGTTGTTTTGTAGTCGTTTTGTTGTTGCTGTTTTGTAGTCGTTTTGTTGTTGCTGTTTTGTTTTGTTTGTTGTGTTGTTTGTTTGCATCTTTTTGGTAGATATATGTAAGTTATTGAGTTTGTTACTTTACGTTGTTGAAATTTTTCAATTTTTCGTCTTATTGAAAGTTTTTCAAATTAGTGTATATTCTCATTGCCATTATTAATCCATTAATGTATATTAATGTGACAGTTAATGAAATGCAGTGTGGGTTTACGCCTGGTAGGGGAACGGTGGATGCATTGTTCATGGTGAGAATGTTGCAGGAGAATTATAGAAAGAAGAAACGAAGATTGTACATGTGTTTTGTGGATCTAGAAAAGGCTTTTGATCGAGTACCGAGGAAGGTCATTGAATGGGCGTTGAGGAAGAAAGGAGTGAATGAGAGACTTGTTAAAGCTGTGATGCAGCTGTATGAATGGGCAAAGACAAAGGTGAGGGTTGGAAGGAGGATGTCGGACGCTTTTAGTGTTAAGGTAGGAGTGCATCAAGGATCAGTGTTATCACCGTTTCTGTTTGCAATTGTGATGGATGTTGTGTGGAAACATAATGGAGGGGTTGTTATTTGAGATTTTGTATGCAGATGATTTAGTCTTGATGGCTGATAGCATGGAAGAATTGCAGTTAAAATTTGACAAATGGAAAAGTGTTATTGAAAAGAAAGGGTTAAAAGTTAATATTGGTAAGACGAAGGTAATGGTGAGTGGGGAAGGTGGGGAGCGAGTGATAAGTAAAATAGACCCCTGTGGGGTATGTGAAAGGAGAGTGAAGGCTAACTCGGTATTGTGTATAGGATGTCAGAAATGGGTGCATAAGAGATGTAGTGGTGTGAGGGGGGCACTGAAAAAGGTGGAAGGCACGTTCAAATGTAAGAAATGTGTTCATGGTGTGATTAATAGGACGGACGCAAGGACGGGGTTGAGTGGTGGTATTGAAAGAGTGGAAAGCTTTGTTTACTTAGGGGATAAGCTGAACGCGGATGGAGGATGTTTGAGCGCAGTTACGGCTAGAGTTCGTGTAGGATGGATGAAATTTAGGAGACTGGGTGGGGTATTGTGTGGAAAGAAATGGTCAGTGAAGATGAAAGGGAGGGTATATAAAGCATGTGTGAGAGCAGCGATGGTATATGGTGGTGAAACTTGAGTGTTGAGGAGAGAGGAGGAAAGTGTACTGCAGAGGGCTGAAAGAGCTATGGTGAGAATGATGTGTGGGGTTAAAGTGAAGGATAGGAGGAGTAGTACAGAGCTGATGTCAATGATGGGACTGAATGAGGACATTGTGACATTGATAAGGAGATCGAGATTGCGGTGGTATGGACATGTGTTGAGAAGGGATGAAAGGGTCGGAATTAGGCGAGTGTTGGAGTTTGAGGTTGAAGGAGTGGTAGGAAGAGGTCGTCCGCGATTGGGATGGAGAGAGCAGGTAGAGAAGGACAGGTCGTCCGCGATTGGGATGGAGAGAGCAGGTAGAGAAGGACAGGGTGAAAGCGGGGTTGCGTGATACTGAGGCGAGTGACAGATGTGGATGGCGTCGAGGGGTATTTCGGTTTCATCATAGGTAGCCAAACGGCAACCCCCGATCTCGGGGAAAATGTCGTCTAAACGTGTGTTGTTGTTGTTGTTAATGTATATTAACTTTCAATTCAAATTTTTAAATTTGGAAAAAGTTCAACCATTATCTTTTGAAAAAAATTTCAAAACAATTATGTCGTTGTCAAACTTTTTTTTTCAAAAAGACACTCTAATAGAAAACAGTCGCTAGAATCATCTGGCACTCTGGTGGATGAGAACGAAGAAGATGCTAATGAAGAGGAAGAAGAGGAAGAGGAAGAAGAGAGAAGAAATGATGGAGACGCAAGAAAAATAACAGGTTCTATTTTGGTTGTAGTTCGTTTATTTATCGCAGCTGATGTATTTAAATTTGATCAGGGAAGTAGACAAAGAGTGCATGCAAGTTGAATATTTGATGTCCATTAATGTAAACGCGTCTTTTATAAATAAAGAGCTCCTTTTTTTGTTTTTATCATTTGTTTTGACTAGTGTAATGAATGTTATAATGAATTTCGCGACATTTCAGCTGCACAGTAGTGAAAAATTTAACTTCTCATATAATGGAGGTCATGTAAAAATAAACACACAGACGACTTGTACCACAAACTGACTTCGGAGACATTGGAGGAGTTGGATTGGTGTTTGGAGCAGTTGGAGACCATACAGACACACAAGTCCGTTACAGATATGGCCACGAGCAAGGTCAGTTGTATGAGCGGTCAGCAGTGTTTACATATGAACATATCCAATTTTGTTCTAATTTTGCATATTTATTTATATTTTAATAAATATTTTAAATATATCAGTGTTTACATATGAACATATCTAATTTTATTCGAATGCTGAATATTTATTTATATATTAAAAAATTGCTTCTCCATTTTTTTAAAACACCATTAGCTGTTCGAGATAAAATGTCTTTTAGTTATAAAATTGAAGTACTCTGTAACAATTTTAATGTGAAGAATCACATATTCTGAAAAACTACGCATATTAGCATGACGTGAACATAAGTACACACACAGACAGACACACACACACACACACATACACACACACAGACACACACATACATCTTTATACATTGGTTTATTTGTCTTGTTTGTTTGTACGTGTGAATAGCGGCCCAAATACTGTTGCATGATTGATATCCCGAGTGGCTACATCAGACTAATTGTCTTGTCAAACGCCTTAAGTATACTTGTACACTTCCACGAACATACACAAATTATCGCTGAATTGTACACATACATACATGTATCTGTAACATGTGTACGTGTGTGATATGTTTGTGAATATAATTATATAAAAAAACNGTGCATGTGCGAGTTTATTTATAGATTGTACAGTACACATGTATATATATGATGCGGATACTTTGTAGAAGATAATGTTTTGGTAATGGTACTTGATGATTGATGTACGGTAGAGTAGAGTAGAGAAAGTAGATACTTGGTGTAAAGCAGTGAGGTGCATACACGAAGCCCATGTATACATCAAAAAATAATCCCTTTTAAATCCTTGATGGAGGCATTTATTACAATTCGACTGCCCACTGAATATGATAAATCACTGGACAATTTTAGTTTTTTCGTTTTTGAATTTTTTGACTTGTTTTTAAGCTGTTTGCAATCCCGCGTCCTTACAACATTGCCAATCAAAGCATCAACTTTGATGACACTACAGCGCACAATAAAAGACACCACAACGCAGAACTAAATGGCCCGTTTCAAAATGACTAAAAGCGGAACAGAGTGCTTCTAAATTACATTAGCCTCTAGGCAAAAACGCATTGAATTCTAAGTTTCTTTTTTCAAACGTAATTTACGTTTTGAACGATGTTGTCCAACAAAAAATGAAAAAAATAAAAATGATGATAAAACACTTTAGAAGTTTCAAGTGATTTGTTTTTCAGAAAAAATAATTACGAAACCAATTTAGTTAATCAGTACTTGTAAAATATCAACAGGATTTATAGTTGTCATTTGCTGCTGTTGAGAAACTTTAAAACTTCGTCCTAATGGGATGAATTATTTAGCTGGTTGATGAGGAAAGATGATGTTGTTTGAAATATTCTCCCACAAATATTGCTTAATAACTTTTTTATGCTGTTCTATGTTTCTGTATTTATCCATGAAGACAAAAGCGATAAACCCAACAAATTTTAATTAAAATTAATAAAAATTATTTTTTGGGTTTTATTTAGTTTTAAACGTGGCAGCGTTGCCTGAAAAATTGTTAACCGTGTTCTGATGAGTAACTTTTTGGAAGCATTAGCTCTGCGTAACATTGTAATAAAATGTATTGACGAGAAATAAAATAGTGTACATTATCGTTTATTTCTTATGTGTTTTGTTATTTAATATTGATTAATAGATTGTAACATTTTTGCGATAGCGTATTTTTTATTAATATTTTATGCAATTTTTAGCTTTTTTCATCTTGTTCATGTAAATTTATTGCCACTGAGTTCTCTTACATTATCTAATTTGTGCAATTTTGTGACTGAGTATGCTTGCAATTTTTTTAAATGAATATTTATAAATATCTTTTTAGAGAATTAATAGATTTATTATTGTTAATAAAATAATTCAGTATTCCATTAATACACTTATTTATTGTTATGAATTTGCAGTTCAAGAGGCTGTTAAACAAAGAGCTGAGTCACTTCGCGGAGTCCAGTAAATCCGGCATCCAGATATCAGAGTACATATGCAACACCTTTCTTGGCAAGTGCATTTTTATTTGTACCCATTTGTACGTGGCGAACTTATGCTTTGTTTACTGTGAAAATATTTAAGTTCTGTTTTTTAAAAAATTTAAAGATTGGTTTTGTTGCTTTTAACATTGTCGCCTTATTGTTGTATTATTTTAATTGGTGTTAATGTAACTTTTAAAATAAAAACGGAGGTTAATGTGGCTTTAAAACATTGTTTAACTTTATTTTTTTCTTTTTTCCAAAAAAAAATTATTGTTTACGATGGTTTCCGTATTAAAAATGCATCACAACATGAAATGAACTGTGGGGTGTTTTTTATTCGTGAAAAATATTTTTTGTAAAAAATTATTTATTACGCAAAAATTTCAAAACAAAAAGGCAATGTTAAAAGGCTACAAATCAAAACCACATTAATTGAATAAAAATACTGAAAACGCTTTAAAAACTTGTTTAAATCAAATTGGAAAAAAGTAGCAGACGCATAAAAAAACAGGTAATGGATTTTTCGATTGAAACGCTAAGTGACACCTCTTTAATAATTCAAATTTACTGACTTCCAGGCAAAAAGATCTTTGTACTATCTTTTTAATTGAATTCCACGTTATCCGGTTAATGCTGTGAGAGATTGTTTCATGTTCCTCCTCTTCTATCTTCTTTTCAATTTCATTCCAATTCTTTCTATTCTATTATAAAATGTGTTTAAAAATACCTTTTCTAAAATTGCCAACTAATTTTAACTCTTGCATCATTTGTTGTTGCAATCAATTTCATTGCACAAAACTTTCCTTCTTCTCGATCCGACCCCAGACAAGGATCAAGACATCGACATGCAGAACTTGGCCAACTCAGTTGACAAGAGCGGATCGAAAGCCAGCATGGAGACGACACACCCGTACATCAGGAGCAAGCTGGAAGTCCTGCTCCCACAGATGTCACAAATTTCTGGCATCGATCCTTCAAAAGGCGAAGGTGGGGGTGGAGATGATGACGTTGGTCGAGTTACTGGTGCTGACGTCATCAGGAATGAAGATGCTGGCGTCAATGGAGACTTGCTTAAAAGTGAAATCGAAGAGGTAGCTATAAATTTTTTTTTCAGTTTGATTTTTCATTCAATGGAAAATTACTTAAAAATCAGTTGATACTATTGTAGTTGTTATTTATAATTTTCATTATGATAATATTTCGCAGTGTATATAAATGAAAAATTGAAACGAGAATTTGTGCAACACAATTTTATGTGAAAAATTAGCCTAGAACAATAAAATACAAGCGTTCAAATTCAACATTGAATTCCTTCATAAAATCATCAAAAAAGTGTTAATTTGAAAACGGCAGCAGACACATCTGAAACGTTAACAAAAGTAGCAAATAGAAAATAACATCGTAATGATAATAACAATATAACATAAGAAAATCATTATGAATAACATCATTATGACTTTTTTAGAAGTGTCAGAATAATCATTAATCAACATCGTGCCTAGTATCATCATTCATTCCATCGTTAGATTACAATATGAGTTTGCCGCATTACACCCAATCATTAAACTCAATTCGCGAGGAGAACGTGCATTTTATTAAATGATGTCATCCACACGTTTCTGCTCGCTAGAACAATTTCACCATCCTCATTATCTAAATAACAACAACCATCATCTTCATCTTAGTCATAATGATGATAACAATAATAATAACGATAATAATAATAATAGTAATAACCATCATCATCATCAGCAGCAGCAGCATCACCATCATCATCATCATCATTATATTCAGTATAACCACCATCGTCATCACAATGCTTCACATCATAAAATTAAACGCTCATTTTGAACAATGCAGTGGAATGAATCATTAACTACACCGGCGTACAGGACTAGCTGGCTATAATGCCGTGTTTATTTTCAATATTATTATTATTTATTTATTCATTATTATTACAATTATTATCATTAGTATTATTATTATTATTGTTAATATTATTTAAAATAGAATCATTACATCATTGAATTGTTGTCCTATCTGGCTTTTTTTATTTTAATTATTTTTATAATATTTTTCTAAAATCTTTTGAATAAACCCTAATTGCAACATTAAAAAAAGTGAAACCATGCGAAATAAACAGCCTATTCAAATTAGGCTTGCGTTTTTGCTTGCACAAAAAGTACACTCATGTGCGTATAAGAACGTACGTAAAACATAAACACACTGTACAATTACACGACACCAGTTGCAAACACTCTTATTAAAACGTTTCAAATCGACACATTATCATTTTCATCTCTTAGATGAAAGGTATATAAATACCAGTTTATAAACATTTGCATGCATTCATACACAACAAATGGACAATAGATTATAAAATACATAAAAAAAAACAATGGAGGATAATGAATGGAGAGAACAATGTTGAGGTTAGGATTGATGGGCACTTCCATATTAATGTTCCTTCTAGAGAGAAACATGGATGGCAAAACGTTCAATTTTCATAGCAGTGAAGTATGCTCAATACACGCATCAGATGCTACGACGCTTAACTAATTAGAACAAAAGAAAATCATACAAACTAACAAAAAAAACATTGTAAAAGTAACAAATCTACCGATCATACAAACAATCGCAAAAGAACAACAATACAAACACGAAATACAACTGATTAAACAATGAAAAAAACAACAACACAAAAATCAGAAACAACAATATAAACATTAAAAACAACGACATAAACAAAAACATAAACAACAGTCACCAAGGACAACATTAACAGCATAAAAAATTTAACAACGCCGATACTAACGCACGAACAACAATACAAACAACAACCAAACAAAAACAACAGCACTACTACCATCAAACAACAACAGCAAAAATTGTTCTCCCTCACCTCACCACAGCAACTAAACACAGTGGACTCATGGGGCATGGATATATTCAAATTAGCTGAATTGACCAGCAGCAGACCGCTGACTACGCTTACTATGCACATATTTCAGGTTCATCTCCTTCGAGTTCCAATATTTACTTTCAATTATTGCTTTTGTTGGAGTTAATTAACTTATTAATTAAATTATTTAGAAGAAAGAATTTAATGAATTGTAAGTTTTGTTTTATAATTTTTTTAAAATCTGTTAAAATATTTATCAATTTGTTAAATTATATGTCTGCAAAGTTGTATGCTTCATCAAATACAATTTTTCGTCATAATTTTTTGTTTTGATTTTTATGAGCAGAAGCGCAACTTGCCACAAACCTTCAAGATAAAGGAGCAGACTCTGCACAAGTATCTGACGCTTGTTGAGAACCACTACCACAAAGACGTGCCCTACCACAACAGCCTCCATGCCGCCGACGTCACTCAATCCGCGCATGCTCTTCTACTCATACCTGCGTTTGAGGTTGGTCGATGGTCAGTTAGCTGGTTGGTTGGCTGTCTGGTTGGTTGTTTGGTTGGCAGGCTGGCTGGTTGGTTGGTTGGTTAGTTGGCTGGTCGGTTGGTTGGTTGGTCGGTCGGTTGGTTGGTTGGTTGGTTGGTTTGCTATTTAAGTAGTTACTTGGTTGGCTAGTTGGTTGGCTGGTTGTTTGTTTGAAGTTTAATTTTTGGTTGGCTGATGACGGCAATTTTATATTAGCTTATTATTTCGAATGTTCCCCAACATAAGTTACTTCCATATGCTTCTTCTTTTGAGAAACAAAAGATGATAAATGCCTGTAAATAAATTATTGTTTAAGTTTTGAAAAATTTTTACTCAAAATTTTTAAATTGGAAATTTATTTATTTAGAAAAAAAATTTTTGTCGAAAAAATAATTCAAAAAATGTTTTTAAAAAAATTTCAAGCAACTATTTCTTTAAAAATATTTAAGTTCATATAAAAAAATTGAAAAATTAATTTGAAAAATTATGACTTAAATGAATGTGGAGAAAATATTTCAGAGGCACTCCTGCTTTTTGCACCACAACTCATATGGAACGCTGGCATTTGCAATAAAATACAAAACACGGCATGAAATGAACATTTTCAAACCATATATCATTATTTCAAACAAAACTTTTTCAGAATTCGTTTAACAAACAAACAAACAAGAACACAACATCTGAAACATAAAAAATCTTGAATGTCGAAATTTTTGAGGTATATCGCCTCTGTAAAATATTGAAAAGACGGGCGGCCTCCTTATATTATTGTTTAAAGTTTCAAGGACTTTCCGTGTATGTTCAACACATGAATCACATACTTTACGCTTTTTAAACTGGCTTCTGTTGTCTTCAAGTTGAATGCTATCTTATCAAAATCATTTTCAATTACGTCATATGCATAGTTGATATTGAAGTGTGTTAATTAATGTTAAATTAGTGATTAACAAAAATTTATTCCATTTGGCGACGTTATGGTGTAATGGTTAAGATGCCTGGCACTGATGCTGCAGTGACTGGATTCAAATGCAATGGAGATCCCATCTACCACATAGAATGTGGAGTAAATGGAGTCACACGTATTTTCAGAAGATGTGTGTTTGCTGCGGTAACATCAAAAAATTAGAAAAAAAAATATTTACATAGTTAAAAGGAGAAAGTTATCCGACTTTTTTGCAAACAATTTCCTCTTTGAGAGTATGCTGAGTCATTCCAGTGAAGGAAAGATATCCATTTTGGAAATTGAAATGATGACGATGTCGTGACTAATACTTTTGCCTAGAATTAGTCTAAGGAAGTGAATGGATGGATGAATGAATGGATGGATAAATTAATTGAAATGAATTGAAAAAGTGGATGAGTAAGCCATTCAATGATGAGGTGAGTGATAACAAACGAGCCAGTGACTGAACTAAAAACTCAAATGATTAAAAAGAATAAGTTAATCTGTGATGTAGTAAGTGAAGTACTTGTAAAAATAATGTGAAATTTTGTGTTCGAACCAGTGAAAGCAGCTTCAATATGTAAAAAAGTTGAAAAATGTATTAGCCAGCGAATGAACAAATGAGTGAATTAGTAAATACAAAAGTTATTAAATGACTGAGTGATTGAGTGAGTGGATGAATGAGTGAATGAGCGAATGAATTTTGAACATTTCAATGATTTTTTTTCTTTCACCGTACTCTTCCGAGTCCATTTTGAAGCGGTTGGTCGACTGTCATATCACATCATTTGTTATATCGGCACAAGTATTAGTTACAGCAACATTAAAAACGATAGTAGAAGTAGCAGTAGTAGTAGTAGTAGAAGTAGCAGTAGCAGTAGTAGTAGTAGTAGTAGTAGTTGTTGTTGTTGTTGTGGTGGTGGAAGTAGTAGTAGAATTAGTAGTAAAAATAGTAGTAGTAGTATTAGCAATAGTAGTAGTAGTAGAAGTAGTAGTAGAAGTAGTAGTAGCTGTAATTAAAGCATCACTTGTAGTAGTAGTAAACATTAACATATCGCAGACAACAACACAAACAACACAACAAAAAACATCATCAATAATAACTAACAACAACTACTACTTCTTCTACTGCTACTACTACTGCTGCTGCTGCTGCTGCTGCTGCAGCTGCTGTAACTACTATTACTACTACTAAACATACCACCACAGCTACAACATCACGAACGCATAAACAATATTTTTCCTGCTCGCAGAACAAGTTCACGGAACTTGAAATTTTTGCAACGATCTTTGGCAGTGCAATTCACGATGTTGATCATCCAGGTGTAACCAATCAGTACCTCATTAATACAGGTGTGAGCTGCCTTCTTTTTTTTCTGCTCAATTTTGTTCAATTATATTATTTATGCTAATGAATAAGCACGGACAGCGAGTTTTTAGTTCATTAATTTTTAAATAGTATTTTTCGTCAATATTTGTTTATGTAAATTTTTTTTCAATTTCTAAATGGTTTTCTATAAAGAGCGCGCATAACAATCCAGTGAAAATTTAGAATTACACCTGCGTGATTAATTATAATTAAATCAAATTATAAATTTATTTGATGAAAATTTAAATTTATTCAATCAAATTATAAATTTATTCAATGAAATTAAACGCATAAGATATTGAAATGAATAAAAATGTAAACATCTACTGCCCACGCTGAACCCATCACGTGACCGACCAGGATCTGACCTTGCCCTCATGTACAACGACGAGTCTGTCCTCGAAAACCACCATGTGGCCGTGGCTTTCAAGCTGCTGCAAGAGGACTCTTGTGACGTCATCGCCACGCTGACGCCCAAGTCGAGGCAACTCTTTAGGAAAATGATCATCAATATAGTTAGTTTGTGATTTTTCAAGTTTAAGAAATTAACTTTTTGAGACACTATCAAAACACGAATTTGTTGATTAATACAGTAATCTATGGTTCAGAAAAGTGTTGTCCAATGAAAATATTATGTATCACTCACCCACCCACTTTGTTTATGATGCGAAGAAAAACATTTTTTGATGGGTGCCTAATATATTGTTATTAAAAACAATTTACGAAAAATTTTATGAGCATTTACGAAAATTCAAAAAAATTCTAGCGATAAAGTACGAATTAAAATCAGTTAACAAAGTAATCCAACAAATATCTACCCAAGTATGGGTTGCAAGCGTCTTAAAATAGCCACATTGACGTTGATCTGTATCCAGCAAACAGGCGTGCCACATGCACTTCATTCAGCTGTTCACGATGTTATTATGCTAGCACGAACATTCGCAGTCTAATTAATTATTCAAAATATCCAAAAAAAACTTTACCTAGCACTGACATGTCTGCCGATGATAAATCAATTTTGATGTTCAGGAAGGAGATGTTTCCTTTTAATTTTAATTGCATACGTGAGTGGAATGAAAAAATAGGCCAGAAAAAAAAGAGCATAAAATTTATTAAAATAAATTATTTATTTTATTTTGAGTAATATCTTGTTGAGAAATTTCGTGAACATTCCAACGCTTAGGTATTAGCCACGGACATGAACAAACACATGGACCATCTGGCACATCTGAAGACCATGGTGGAAACTAGGAAGATATCCAATAACACGACTCTCGGACTGGAAAACTACGGAGAGAGAATCCAGGTTGCTATGGTTGTTTGTGGCTTTGATGGAAAGTCGCTAAGAATGTGTAATATAAAATGAAAATTGTGTTTTTCTTTTTTTTTGATAAAATCTATTTTTAACTAATCAAAATCAATTATATAATAATTTACATTAATTCACATCATTCAAAAATCTCAAAAGTTTAAAATCTATTTTAAACTAATCAAAACCAGTTCTACAATAATTTATTTCAACCAACTCCATTCGAGATTCTGCAAAGTTTGGTTCACTGCTCCGACCTCAGCAATCCGACGAAAACTCTCTCCCTCTACCGAAAATGGAACGATTTGGTCATGCAGGAGTTTTTCATGCAAGGAGATCTTGAGAGGGAGCAAGGCCTCGAAATCAGTCCCATGTGTGACAAGACGACCGCCACTGTTGAAAAAACCCAGGTAAGTTACATTTTTTGAAGCATAGTTGTGAAAATAAATGACACCACGTCAAATCTTGTTTTGAATTGAAGAGTCTTAATTGTTGTTACATACGTGAAATGGTACATATAAAGTAAATAAAAGTTACCGTTGTTGCACAATTACATTATTTCTCTTTTGTTTTCTTCCTATCCTGACTCGATAAATTTTCATATTCGCGTTTACCGTACTAATATGCATAGTAAATTGGCTGAACAACTGGACCCCGAGATTAAGCATTATTGAGAATTTATTGAAGGGAGGCTCTGTAGATTGTGCAAATTCAAAAGTATATAAAAAAATAGCCACACAATCCCTCACACAAATGCCCGATGACGATTGCATTTAATGCGACGACATCATACTTCGTCCATCTAGGTCGGATTCATAGACTACATCGTGCATCCCCTCTGGGAGGCCTGGGCAGAACTCGTCCAACCATACTGCCAGGGAATACTGGATACGCTGGAAGACAACAGGGAGTGGTTCGTTTGTTCACGTGTTTATGTTCATCTCCACCTGTGTTTCCATCCAACTTTCAGTTATTATTGTTTCAATAAGTGTAGGTTTATCGTTCAAGTTTATCAAATTTGAAGGTTAAAATACGAGAAAATTGTGTTTTGGATGGAAATATGTAATAATGAAGATATTAATGTTATTGTTAACGTTAATTTAAAAAGTGACGGAAACATTTATCAAGTCCTACTCAAACTTTTAATGTTTTTTTTCCAATAATAACTAGGAGGACAAAGAAATGTAATTAAAAAATTAGATTTCAGTGGCTTGTCTCCACTTGTTCAAACAAAATAAACACATTACCACAAACGAAAGAGCAAACAATATAGCAACCAACTGTTGATTAATCTTCTTTCAGGTACAGTAACATAATCTGCGGCAGTCCATGCAACAGCCAGGACATCGGCAAAAAGGTAGGAGAGAGCAGTGGAGGAGGTGGTGGTGGTAATGATGTGGTGGCCAGAAAACCTCTAAAGTACCATTTCACTTCTGAACTGGAAACACAGATTGAAGAAGAATGCTGAAAGAAGGCTACAAAATGGGTGGACGATATAAGGAGATGGAAGCGGAGATTTCTATTTTTGTACATACGTAAAACATATTTTCTTTCTCTTCTCTTTATCATATATACCTGAGCAAGAGTCCAAATGTTTTCATTAGTTTGACGTTTTGCTGGTGGTTCACTTGTTTGTTCTTTCAATTTTTCTAATGTTTGATTTCTATTTTCAATGAGTACTTTTGTCTATATGAGTATAAATACATAATAGCATATGAATATAACTTATTAACTCGAGAGTTTACGAAGTTGCTACCCTTCAAAGAAAAATTTAGCTTACTACCTGCCATTTACCTATAATAAAAATAAACTAATAACAACAAAACATCAACAACAAAAAAATAAGAATATCATAAACGAGCATAATAAGCATCATGTTTTTATTCATATATGCTCATTTTATGCTTCAATTGAAAAATTTTAACTGAAGTTCAGATCTTTGAGTTCTTGATTAAATCACCGCACTAAGTTTGAAAAAGTTGTGATGGCAAGCGACGTTGAATTTATTTTGCTGGCAATTGAAATCTAATTGATTGTTTTTAAAATGTCTGTGATAAATGAATGAATACAATTTTGAAAATCTCTTTCTTCATTTCGATCGAAATGTTGGCAAGTGCAGTATTTATTTTTGCAATCTATAATTCACACTCACACTTGACACACACACTTAACACGCACACACACACAGAACACACCTACCCCTTCAAAACATACATCATAACTAAAAACTTAAATTATTTCTATTTTACGTGAATGCAGTTGTTCTAACCTAGATTGAAACAGTAAAGTTGACATGTTTGGTTGATATTTCTTTTTTTTCATTTTGCTCTTTTCCTTTTACCTCCAATCGCCTTTGTTAATTTGCGAGCATCTAGTTTTTTCATCTTCATAATTAAATAATATTAAGAAGTGTTGTAACAACGATATTAATTTAGAGAATAACAAAAAATTACTTTTTTATTCTACAATTAAATTCAAAAAAATAAAGATGAACACGAGTAATGTTAGCGTGTAAATATTTTATATTACAATCATTATAGATAAATTGTTTGATTTTACAGCTGACACTCTACTACTGAGTTTTTTACAATTTGAAGAAATTTAAATACCGTTAGGTTTGTCGCTACCCTAACTTAAGAACGAAACTTCTTAGAACTAGTTGTTTGCCATGTAGAGACCGAAGATGGTTCGTTCAATGTTTCATCTCAGTTTAATTTGATCTCTTTGATGTCTGACTTTTTATCACAAATATTATGTCTATATTCAAAAAATCGAAATATTAACTTTTTTCAATTGAATATCATTTCTATTGGTTTTAGTTGTTAAAGTGTTCGTATCATAAATATATATGAAAGACATTCACATTAGATTATTTAAATTTTCAATTTGAGTTTTGATATTTTTTAAAATCTAAATAGAATTACTTCTAATGAAATTCATAGACAACAGAAAAAAAACAGTGTTAAACTTTTAAAGCTCTCATGGAAAGCATAACATAGTAAAACAAGTAAAAGTTTTATTATATTTTCAATCTTAAACTTACCTACCGACGCATATTTTATTCACCTAGATGCTTAAACCTTTCAATTCGTTGGTTTTTTTTTATTGAATGTCTTCCTCTCTCTCAAGCGATAACTCTTAGACAAATTATTTATTTTAAATCGTCCTTAGTGAGATTTCTTCATGCCTTTTGACGTTTTATTTTTTTGAATCATTAGAATTTTTGAATGACTACACACACCCAAACACACCACATACACACACACACAATCACACATACATACGCACACATGTAGCGTGAATGTACGTGTAGCGTGAATGTTCACGCTACACACACAAACTGACGCACATTCACACTACACACACACAAACACACGCACACACACACATATATATATATATACACACACACACTTAACAGCCTGACATCGAGTGTTTATGGAGGGTTATAAAAACTCGAGAAGAAGTGTCACGCAGTTCACAGTTAACGCGTGGATAATGACCGCATTTTTGCCGTGTAAATATTTAATTTTTATGAATTAATATTTATTTATTTAGTTTTATTATTTATTTCTATTTATTTATTTATTTAGTATTATAATTTATTCAGAGTTATTTAGAAGAGTTGTGTATATATAATAATTAGGCGAATTTCTCGAATCGATGGTCCGAGAATTTGCTGTTTGTTTGTTTTTGACATTCATTCATTACTGTACATTGTTTTTTTTATGATCCGGTTGCTTTTTTAAAAATTATTTATTATCAAAAAGTATTTTTCAATTAGAAAAATTTATTTTTCAAACTTTATATGTTTTTTAATATGAAAATTTAGAGAATCGTGGTTCATCTATCAATCTTCATAATTAACGTAAAAAATGAACGAAAATAAATAATTCAGCTGCTAACATATTTTAAAAACAAACGTTATTTCAACAAGGAAATCACTTCAACACATCAAAAATTTTAATGAAAAATTGAAAAACAGTTTCTTTTAAATTTAGTACTATTGAAGAAAATTGATGATATGCAAAATGAATCAATTTGATCCATAAGTTACCTCATTCAAACATTTGACATAAACAAACATGACACCTACGTGTAGAAAAAAATACACCGTATTGTCATTCTGATATTCATATCTCAAGATTTGGCAGTCATCGTCACTGTGAGAATTCTGTTTCATTGCTTCATTGGTCACAAGATTATTCTTATTAGCATTCTTGCCTGGCACTGATGATGAACTTGAATCATTTGAAGTTTGTTTTCTTCTTCTTCAAGAACTTGGTGAGATTAATTTTTTGAATAACCAGACGTAACCAATTTCGTTGAAAGATATAGTGGCAGTTGTTGATGGTGATGGTAAGTAACCTGAGCGTCAACAAAGATGGCCTCTGATCACTCTCCACATCATACATCTCTCCATCCTTTGTTGATTGAATTATTTTTTAAAAATTAAGATTAAAGTTCAAACTGCTTAGTATAAACTTACACATCTTAAATCATTTTGTACGTGAAAATGAAGACCCAAAAAACGTACTTATTTACTTACGAGTGAATAATAAAGTATATGAAAGGAGTGACAACTACAAGAAGAAGCATACTAACCACTATCTTACTTCGAAAAAAATCTGGTTCAGACGATAGAAATTCATCACCAATGACTAAAATCTTATTCCCCGTGCATGCCATAGCATGAGAAAATGTGCTGTCAACATGGGAGCCTTCGAGAACCATTTGTTGCCTGATGGTCATACTGATACACCAGATTCCATGCTCTTTCGTCACACCCGCCACTTACATATGTCTTACATAAGACTCTTACGCAAAATCGTCGTCACCACACACACACACTACACACACATACTACAGCACACACACACACATACTACAACATACACACACATACAAACTACAACATATACACACAATAGCCTGACTTTCGAGTGTTTATGGAGGGTTATAAAAACTCGAGAAGTGTCTTGGAGCTCAGACATTTTTTGCCGTATAAATATTTAAATTTTGTAAATTTTTTTTAATTTTTTGGTTTATTACTTATTTATTTAGAGTTATTTAGAAGAGTTGTGTAATAAAATAATTAGGCAAACCACGAGTCGATGGTTTGAGAATGTGCTGTTCATTTTTTTTTACATTCATTCATTACTGTACGTTTTTTTCAATTGCCGTTGGCTTTTTTAAAAAATTACTTATTTCCAACAAATATTCTTAATTAGAAAAACTTATTTTTTAAGCATACATTTACTTTTTATTGTTCTTTTATCCATCTTCCATTTTCATAATAAACGTGAAAAATGTCATTTCCATGCAACGCCGAAGATAAAACCAATGAAAATTTGTTTATTAATTAAAAAAAAATTTAAAACCTAATTTTCGGGCCCTAAAAATTACTGGCCTTTGTCGCCATTTTCTTTTTCTAGGTCGCTATCATCGATCATACACACTCAATGTTCCCAGATCTGTAGCAAGTGCCTCCTATTCATCGTCGTCGTCGTCACAAATTAATTTGAAACAATCTAACCAAACTGAGCAGCAAAATTTAGCATGGAGACGTTTAAAATTTGTTGCTGTCGAATCGGGGAATGAAGACTGTAAGGAATTTATTTTTCAAACTATATACGTTTTTAATATGAAAATTTAAAAAGATGGGGTTCATCTGCCGATTTTCGAAATTAACGTGAAAAATGAACAAAAATAAATATTTCAGCTGCTAACATTTTTTTACAAACAAACGATCTACAACACGTAAAATTTAAAATTGCCTTTAAACAAAAATTTAAAAATGTAAAATTAAATTAGATCCTCGCTGGAATGACTCAGTCCTTCTTTAGAATAACTTTTGCATTATATTTATTGCTGTCCCAGTACAAATTGTAAATAAAGCAGCATTAAAATCTAAAACCATCTCGCAGACAGCAAGCCTGCTGCTGCTTCAACTACTGCTTATTATTTTCAGGTTCGTCGTCTTCTTCGCTTTTCATTTCCATCATCGTCGTCGCCCGACTCGCCTTCTGTAAGTTTTGGGGGTAAATAGTGGCACTCCCTCTTTCTCGGTACCTCATGTCCTTGCGGTCCAGGTCCAGGGCAGGTCCCCACGATGGGTAAGGTTGGACGCCCACTTCTATTGTCTTTGTGTTGGTTTTACATACAATTATAAAATCAATTTTACTAAAAAAGTTTACACAAAGTACGCTTTAGTTAACAAAGTTTATTTATTAATATAACAAATAATGTTAACCTTCCAGATACGCCAAAAAAACTTGGAAGACCAACACATATACTTCGGTTGCAATTCCGACAACTTACCCTATGATCAGGCAAAAACACTTTATGATTTTTTTAATTACTAAAACACCACACGACAAACACGCACACAGCAATCACACACACCCGCACACACACACACACCCGCACACACACACACACACACACACACACACATTGCAAGACACGCACATCATAGAAAGAGACAGACAAACCCGATGCTTATGTTTGTAGATACGGATCCCATGATAGACAAAGTAGAGAGGAATGGGAAGGACGATGGCTGCCACGATGAGCCAACCCAGCAGGATCCCAACTTTTGGGAAGAAGTAAGACTTGTTGAAGAGAGTGGGTCGTTGGTATTCTTTTATGCAGAACAAACTCGTTGCCTGTTTTTAAAAGATTGGCAGTTGTTTCACTTCAAATTCATATTTCCAACCGAGCCAATAAAAATTTCCTACATATTTTTAATGATGATTAAAACAGCAAAAAATAAGTACAACCTTCTATCAAAATGATAAATTTTAACAAATGGAAATATTTAGAATTTTTCGTAAATTATAAACATTGCAGTAACGGTAATCGATGACAACATGGTTAAAAATGGTGAACATTGTACTTTTTAGAAAAATATTAAAAGAAATAACAGCTAGAAGAAGAGGTGTGACGAAGCACCAGCAGATCTTGAAGTAGAGAGGTGGTTTTCTGCCTAGCATCATCTTTATGTCCAACTCAAAATTCTTTTCTCCTAATATTTCAGAAAAATTAAGCTCGAGATCATCTTTTGAAATAAAATTACAAACATATTAATCACAATATTCTACCGAAAATTTCACCAAAGATACGGATTGAATCTATTTAACGCCGTAAAACTGAATTCGATTCATTTTTAAACTTGAAATTTTTTGACAAACGATCTGACATTCGATAAAGTTTGAAAAAAAACATAAACTTTAATGATTTGAACTATATTGAAGAAACAACAACAAACAACAACAACAAACAACAACAACGACAAAATTATCAAATGCCTTGCGACAACAGACCATATACAAACATGAGAACCAGAACGAAGATGAGACCAACGAGTAGGAGAGGTAGGCCACCTGTGAATTCATCCACCAGTGCGAATAAGTAGAAACCTCCCTGAGTCAATTATATTTCTCGGTCTGTAGTTCTTTTATTTCTTTTATTATACTATATTATTTTTTTATATAATTTACTAGTTTAAAAAAAATGGCTCAATAAACAAATGTTTCTAGTGCAATGTTTTGGTTAGCGAGTTAGCCAAACCAGTGGAGATGTCATGTTTTCAACTGCTGTTCTGGTTTTACCGCTGAATATTTTAATATAGTATTTCCATGTGAATACGAACAAAATCGTGAATACCAACATGAGTAAGCTGTGGGATTGTCACCAAGCAGACAATTATCAAAATTCCACCTCTCCACATGCATGTCTTCCAAAATGACTTCTTCAAATGTTTCGAGAACTCGTCCGTGAAGGCGACAAAAGCTGACTCCGTCATTGTGTACTGTGGTTTTGGGAAGAATTTATTTGAAATTTCAACACTTGGATTTTCAAGTTGTCCGTGCTATATATATATATATATATATATATATATATATATATATATATATATATATATATATATATATACATACATACATACTACTTTTGATATTGGTTGTTTTTATCGAGTATGAATCGAGTATTCACAAACAAAATTTTTACCTGCAAAATGATTGACAACTTTAACAAAATTTGCTAAATAAACACTTTTTTCAAATGTCTTGAAGTAATTACTTGATCAAAACTCAAAGAAGCCCTAAATATAAATTCGTTCAATTCATCGTTCATTATATATGTTCCACCAGAACCGACCATAGAACTCCAGCCGAGGTTGGTCATCATGAGGAAGAAGAGGACACTCCAGACGGGGGCAGCGGGCATGGTGCTCAATCCTTCAGGGTACACTACAAACACCAGCCCTGGACCTTGTACGTAACATTTTGTTTTAATTTTTCATGTTAATTTTTAATCTCGAATTGTTACAACCGAATTTATTACCAAAATCATTAAGTCTTTTTAAAAAAGTTATGATCAATATAAACTGCATTAAAAATAAAGCACCGCAGAGCGAGTAGAATAGAATGGATTGGGCTTGCATTTGAACCTAGTGACCGCGTTGAACAATTTTGCCTCCCAAAAACAAATATCCTATAATCATGGAATAATCATTTCAGTTAATAAAATGAACCGTCGGCGGCTACAGTAGCGACAGTAACGTTTTTGAGGTGGGCCATGTAGCCGAGAAAGGAGAAGATGACGAAGCCGGCGTAAAGACTCGTGAAGACGTTAATTAGAGGTACGAAGAAGATGTCGCTGTGGTTGGGTTGGGAGAAATTATTTTAATTTTTTATTGCGTTCTTATTTTTAAAAAATGGTAATATCATCAACTGGCTGTCTGCAATTGTCGGTCGTATAACACTGAATTGAAATATATTATTAATAAAATCGCCTCGTTAGATGAATTAAATTGTACTGTCAATTAAAAATATAATTGTTTCAAATTTTATAAAACTAAAAAAAAAATTAGAAATCATCATTCAATAAAATGTTCATGTAAATGGGTTCAAAAAAATCCCTACAAAAGATTGTTGTTGTGGAAGTTGTTGTAACTGGCCATGGCGATTATGCTGCCAGTGCAAGAACTGAGCGAGTAGTACACCTGGATTGCTGCGTCTGACCACACCTGTTGACGATGGAGAGGCAAACATTCTTATATGGTTAGGAGCATGTCATCGATGGCAACCACAATTAAAATAGCTTTTTATTTGCTCGACGCGATTGAGCTGAGCACCTAATTATACTGGCCGCGAATGAATTGCTTTAATGACATAAACAGTGACAGATATAAACATGAACAATAATAAAACCAAAAGGATGATTGTGTATTCAATAAAAACTTGACGTTATTACATCGTACTATATTTTATCTAGATTTGTGTGTATGGTAGAGCACTCAAAAATAAATAACAACGAAAAATGCATAAAGACCGCTGTAAGATCTGTTATCTAAACATCACTAAAGAACCTACCAACATTTATTTCCAACAACTTGTTGAAGTCTGGAATGATGTAAAACTTGATGCCCTCCATGGCTCCGTCCAACATGAGGCCTCGCACCAGCAAGACGGTTAGGAAGACGTAAGGTATTGTGGACGTCACGTAAGCTACCTGGTGATTCGCTACTTTTGTTACAATTAACATAACGACATTTTTACATGGTATCGATTTTTAAATTATTCGAGCTGCCATAAGCCGCTCATCTGCTTACCTAAAATTTCAACGTCGACTGTGTTTTATTCATGGATTCAAGTTCATTTTTAACGGTTGTTTGATGTGTAATATAAAAATTTATTTGTTCAGGTTACTGTAATGAGTTATCGGCATAATTTTTTGCAATTTTTGTTTGAAATTCTACCAAAATACGATAACGCTTTGTATGCAATGAAATAATGTAGATAAATCAGATAAATATCTAGAAATGATATAAAAATATATTTAATATTTTCCAAAACAATCTTATACCATATTTTGTACAGATTAGAATAAAAAAATGGAACAAAAAGTAAAACTTTGCCAAGTGAATGTATTCCTTTGATGAGGACGATGTAGATCATGAGCCAGCTGAATACTAGGCACCCAAAGAGCGTCCAAACAACATTTCCCGGATCGTCCAAGCCTTTCGACAGCTGGAGTACGTGTCGGCTTGCAACAGGTAGTTGAAATTTTAAAGTAATTATTTTGAGGTTCTGAGTGTGTTAGGATTTGAGATTGTTTGGTGTTGCTATAATGTCAACCTAATTTTAAAAGTTTTATAAACTACAGTTCAATTTGCAAAATACCTACGAGACTTCTGATTGCAATTTGATTTAACTAGGAAATAAAAAGTTAAATTTTAAGTGAAAAATCACAAAATTTAAAAAACTTACTAAAAATATTCTTCACTCGGAGTTTTCAGTTGAACACGCGCCATCTCCGTTCCATTTCTTACAAAGGAATCATTGGCTATGAGAGAATATATATTTTGAAAGAATTATAATTTGAGAGAATTTAATGGCTGAAAAACTACCATACCAAACCATAAATACAACTGAAAGACTATTCAAAGAATATTATAAATGTATTGTATTAAATTATTGAAACAAATCTAACAAGAAAGCCCTCGCAGTTCGTTCATTGTTATGCAGTACGGAGTGTTCCAATGATTACCGCAATTCGTCCAGGGCAAAACCCATGAGAATGACGAGAAAAAGAAGAAGATGCACCAGCTGACGATGACATTGTAATACAATGCTATGATGATGTTTATCACCTCGTTAGAATAACCAATACCTGCGAAATATTTAAATATTTTAAACTTGTATAAATTTGTCAGAACTCACCCGTTGCAATATTCTGCACTTGCAGGTTCAACAAACAAGTTGGCAGCTAATAAAAGCCCATTAGATCACGAAATAAAATGAAATGAAAGTTTTTTGAAAACCTACTCGACAAATTGAAACAACGACCTTTAAAAATTGGACACGCTTTCCAGCAGGCCAGAGGTCCTAAACTCGAAAACTGTCCTAAATTTAACTCCATGCTGAAAATGGGATAGCCGATGCCAACCAGCATGATAAAAAATGGAATGAGGAAAGCCCCTAAATTTTTGTTTATTAAAATAGTGGTATACGTTCTATATCTCCATATTTAAGTATATCCAGAAACCGCGCTACAACTTTCTTATTACTAATTTAGTAGAAAGTGTTTTTTGTTTTTCCATACAAACTAACTAATAAAACTAGTTTATCTTTTTTAAATATTTGATTTAATCGTATTTAAGAATAAAAAGTTTGTAAAAGAAATTGCTTTCCGACTCACCACCGCCATTTTTGTACAGCAAATATGGAAACCTCCAAACATTTCCAAGCCCAATGGAGGAGCCCATAATGGAGAAGATGAACTGCGCCTTTTTGTTCCATTGTCCCCTCTCCAATGCATCCTCGTATGAGCGGTGCCGTTCAGTAACTCGTTCACTCCCGACAAAACTGATCATGTATCTCGAGGTCTTGCTTTTTTATTATTACTTCAACTATTTTCTGGCTGGTGTATTAGGTTTTCAATTATCTATCAACTTTCATATTTTTGGCAATATATGCTCATCATAATTCAGAGTGAAAAGTATTGTATAATTATAGATTCTATTTTATTTCAGATATTTAAATGGAAACAGAAATGAATGCAATGTATTTCTAATGGCTTGAAGTTTATCAAAACATACACAGCGTAGTTGAGTTTTATTTATTTTGTAACGCCACTGATGAATTGTTTACAAATTGTTTTCAAAATATATTTACGCCGCGACGTCAGTCCCATTGTTGTACACACACTCGCACATGCATGGTAAATTTTCACGGTGGAATCCATAAACCATAAATATTATACACATTCACAGATATGTTCGGCGCTGTTATCGGCTATCATTTCAGGGGCGTAAAAATAGTCGGTCAATCAATCAATCAACCAATCAACCAACCAGCCAATCAATCAATCAATCAATCAATCAATCAATCAATCAATCAATCAATCAATCAATCAATCAATCAATCAATCAATCAATCAATCAATCAATCAATCAATCAATCAATCAATCAATCAATCAATCATTCATTCATTCATTCATTCATTCATTCAAGTAATCAAAGAAATTACACGTCGTATTATGTGCAAGCTTTTTGGAAACAGAAAACGCCTTCGAGGTATTCCAATTTCAGCGACTAATTTGGATATAATTTAAACTATAAATTTAATCTTCTACTTAGAGTAAAAAATCCTTGAACTTTTACGTGGAAAATCTTTCTGACATGAATTCCAACAATACATCTTTAAAATATTTGTTTTTCAATTTATAACGCTTCTCTTGAATGTACCTACCTATATTTTTAATGACTTAAATAGTTGATCTGACGACTCTTACTTTATGCAAGTCCCTTGCACCAATCGATTCGACATCACACACACACACACACACACACACAACTGGTTTTCAAGTACCATTAAGTAATTACAATTTTAACATTAAATTCAGAACGAAATCCGAACATTATCCTTAAAAGTTAACATCACACTTAGGCGAGTGAACACCACAACAGATATTCGCAACGAACTGAAAGATTAAGTGGAAGAAAATCAAACAAATTGGAAAAAGTCTAAAATTAAGAAAAACAAAATGAAGATGAGAGTTAGAGCCTAACCGTAAAATGAACTTGAACACCAAGGTACATAAAAAAAGTGGCACACACGTCCGCTGCATGTCGCCTGCGTGCCTTGCCGCCAAAATTCATTCAGATATATTGGAATATTTATTGCAGAAAAAATCAATTACTTCATTATGAAAATTATAATTTCAACTAAAAAAATTTGCCATAAAATATTTGTAACATTTGGTCTGTACGCAAATGACAGGCTTTCAGAATATATCAAACTATCAGTTGGCAAAACATCACTTTTCCTATTTTCGCCAATTGAATATTCATATTCATTAGTGGTTAACGGTATGCCATTATTCAGTTGGTCCCAGAGCTTTTGGTGGTAATCGTTAACGAGAGGTCTTGGCTTTCCCGCCACTGTCGATTTTGTCAATCTACCCTTTGTAGTAAAAGTGAACTTTGTTGACTGGTCGGTATGTTTGAAATGGAATATCGATTGATTTGTATCGTTAAATATCGATTTTTGGGTGTCGTTATAGTCATATATTGGTCGGTCGGTAACATTAAAATCATATATTGATTTGTTGGTATGGTTTAGATGATAGATCGACTGGTTGGTATCATTATAATCGAAAGTGGTTTTATCGGTATCATTCAAATCATAAATAGATTGGTTAGTACCATTCAAATGATATTTTGATTGAACAATTGTTGAATTATCGGCATAGTAAGTATCATTTACATTCAGTTCAGTGGGTCCGGTATCACTAAAATTGTTTGTTGAAGTGGCATCATAGAATTCGATTTCTGATTGATCGCTGTCGAGTGTTAATACATCTGTACCATTGACGTCAGTGTAATAATGATAGAAATGCAATATATCGTGAATATCGTTTACAAAAACTGTCGATTGATCGATACCATTCAAGGTATCATTCAACATTTCAACTGAATTCCTACCCTCTACATCGATTGTTGTCGGGTCGATATATTTGTAACCGAATATAGATCGGTCGGTATCGTTCATAATTATGCTTATATCGGTATCATTATTTCTCTCACTTGCCGGAGGATGATCGTAATATGGAAACTCGATTTCAGATTGGTCGGCATCTGTTGCACTAACAAGCCGATCCACATCGTCGGTTAGTAGGTGTCCGGTTCCATTTAAATAATGCAACAAGTAGTTATAGTAATCGATTGGTAATGCTCGGTCGGTATTGTTTGTATTTAATAACGTTGTGTCATCCTTGCTATCTGTGGTTGAACCATTTTTGTTCAACTCGTTTGGGCTAAAATATGAATTGAAATCATGTAGAGATGTGTTAGCGAATGAGTTTTGATTGAATGTCGCCGTCAAATTATCATCACCGGAAACAACAGTTCCTATGTTGTCAACACCAGAAACAGCGCGAAGACTGCGTGATGGTAGAAAAGAGGATTGTGATGTTGAATTTGACAAGTTGCACTCTACATAACCCGCTGGAGGTGTTGATTTGTTTGAAAATTCCGACGACTTGTTAACTGAATTTTGAAAGGAGTCTGGATATACACCTTTTTGGAACTTACTGGTAGTTTTTGAATTACTGATTAGAATCGACTCACAGAACGAGCATGATGTTACTAGAATAATCCGGACCCATAAATCGCGACAAATCATTTATAAATATATGTAAGTGCGTTTGTACGGGGTCTGCATATATATAGCATGGAATTTTAGTAAAAATTGAACTATAACACTTTTGGCTTATCAATCAATCAATCATTTTAATATTAATGTTGTAATGAATGCTTGGCGTCAATGCTAAAACATGGCTTCCAAGTAGAGTAAAATAAATAAATAAAATATGGGTAAAATATAGCAATTTCGGTTTAAAATTACATAGCGATTTGATTATTTAATATTTGTTTGCATAAATTTTCAATTAAGTCAATGTCATTCACAATAATACTATGAATTATTTTATGTACAAAAACCTTTTCAGTTTGTTTCCATTATTTTGTTATTCTAGAACTAAACTTCTAATTAATTACGTAGCTAACAAAAGTGTTGTAAAAACCTCGCCAACAAAAAAACCAATTTATTGTATTTGATTGATATTTCAATAAAATTTATTAAACACTTTGCAGTTGTTTCGCAAATTCCAGAAAATGCAAACATCTCGCAGGCATGAAATAGAAAGATATAAAATATAATGTCGTGTCTTACTTACTAGTCCTGCTGCCTCACGATTGGCCTATAAATAGCACCGGATCAGCTGCGTAAACATAATTTTCTCATATCGTAGCTGTTGTGAAGCTGGTCTCTTTGTTCGTCTTGCAGGTTTTTTCTTATAATTTCTTATTTTTTACCTTCAAAGTCATAAAATGCGCTGGGAATATAAAGAAGAGAACTCCTTCGATAAGAGGAAATCAGAGGGCGATAAGATTCGAAAGAAATATCCTGATCGTGTTCCAGTTAGTTTGTGTCATCTCATTGTTGTCGTTTTCTTCAGACTCCAATTGCGCATTTTCATTTTTTCTTTGTCTTCGTTAAATGATTGTCGTGTCTTGTGACATTATTTTGCTGTTAAGGTGTCTCACATATTTATGTTAAATGTTAAACTAATAAAATAAATGAAAATTGAAACTTAGAAAGGCAAATTGTCCATGGTTGTTTGCCTTTGGCATTGATTGCTTTTTTTCATTGTCACATTTTCAGTTCTCTTTTTGACATTGTTTTTGTCTCTCATTTTCACTTGGAGTAACAACATTTTTAGAGTAGAATTGATAATTTTAAAATGTTTTATTCAATCATCCTGTTAAAAATGAAATTCACACTGTCAGGTTATTGTAGAGAAAGCCCCAAAAGCCAGAGTTGAAGACCTTGACAAAAAGAAATATTTGGTCCCGGCTGAGCTGACAGTTGGCCAGTTCTACTTTTTAATTCGAAAACGAATCCACTTGAAGCCTGAAGAAGCTCTGTTTTTTTTTGTGAACAATATCATCCCGCCAACCAGCACAACCATGGGACAACTCTACCAGGTTTGGCAGGTTTTTTAAGCATATTTTTCTACAAAATTATCTTTAATTAAAATTTTTAACCTATCCTTCTTTCCTTTCAGTCTGAATTCCTGAACAAAAATGTAAGACATTTATTATCTTCATTTGCAGCTTACGCTGTAAACAATGGAGCTTCAATGGGAAGATGTTGAGATTTTTTTATTTTTAATTTTAATGAGATTGGTGTAAAGTGTGTGTATTGGCTTATCATTTTTTATTGTTTCTGAATAACATAAAAACATTTTTAGAATAAAAAACCATTTAAATGCATTGATATTGATCCATTGGACAGGAACATCACGAAGAAGATGCATTCCTCTACATAGCATACAGTGATGAAAGTGTTTATGGCAACTAAGAAGATAATGTCTGTCAAATTTAGAATGAGTTTGGAGTTTCAATGTTGACCATTTTGGAGTGCATTTGATTATTTTATACCAAATCTTAGACCTTGATTTTTTTCTTTAATAAGTTTGTTATTTCACTCAATTTTTTCTTCTTTTGACAGTTTTACTTAGTACAACTTTCGACAAAACAGTTACGTGTACATATTGATTTTTTAAGCTGATTTTATTGGTTTTTTGAATGTGTGTATTTAGTTATCACTTGCTTATTATTAGGATGGTATCAAACTGAATCATGCCCTTCAGTGGGTAATATGCACTTTAGTTAACTTATTTTGCTCTACTCATTTTACTAGCGTGATTATGTCCTGCTTTTGTGCTAAAAAAGTGGCAAAAAATGTCTTGTCTGTTGTGTCGGTTATAATTCGATACAATCATGCTTCTTGTTGCCTTTGATTCACATCCTTTGAGTCCGAGCACTCAAAGGCTTGATGAAGGAGGCACCTGCTCGACGTTATTTCGGTTTAGTAGGAATCTGTCTTACGTAAATGATCGAAAGAAATCGGTAAGGTCTTTCATGCCCAGTGCCGTCCACGTTCGGCGGACGTTCTTACACTTCTTTAATGCGATTAAGCAAGTCAGAAAGTTAACCGTCGTGCGATACGGGTTTTAAATCGGCAAACAGCGTTTATATAGTATAGCAATGACGACTGTGATAGGCGAATAATTTATCGAAAGTTCGACCGACCAAACGTATAAAAGTTGGGAACATTCCTGACGTGTTTTTTCGCCGAAGATGTTTTGTTGATCAAATAGGGTCCGCGGGTTAGATTTATTTTTATTAATTTTAATTGCGAATTCGTTTCGTCTCAACATTTTTGAGAACTCGCTCAGATATATACAAATTTTGGTGGAGGCTTCATTAAAATTAAAACTCAATTTTAAATTTAAACTTTAAAATTGTTGACTGGTCCGTTTGTTTGTTGCACAACAGAAGAGATTGGAATGAAACGCAAATGCAATACTTAGAAATAAGTAACTATTAGTCACACTGTTGGCGTGTGATTAACAACTAACATGCATGTGTGTGTCCGCAGTTTATAATAGAATACAATACATTCCATATAAAATACGTATGATATATATTATTATTTATATATCTTGTTTATAAAATATAATTATATTAATGAAAAAAAGTAATTCAAAAAGAGCTGCATGAATGTTTTTAGTTTTAAGGTTTTGTCATGTTATTTGGACTTATCCTAGCACTGGCTAGTTGACAGTTGTAACAACTGAGTTGTGAATGGTAGAGGATGTAAAATGCTTAAAATTTATTGTAAAAATTATGTATGAGAAATAAAAATTGAAAAAAATAATTTTCTGTATAGTTCAGACTTTTTAAAAAATTATTATTTTATTATATAATTGTAATAAATAATTATTGATTTAAAAATATAATCTACAAATCTAGCTAGATTAGTACATTTTCTTTGAAGTTGTGCTAGTAGATTACCTAGATAATACAATACATAATACAACAAGCAAGACAGCGATTCCAAATGCCGCTAGAGAAACGACGTAGCAAATCGTTGATTCAGCCCCCAGGGACATTTGAGTATGTGGTGAGTTAGGTTTTTTTATACAGCTGTAATTTTAGCTTTTTTTACTAACTAGTGGTTGCTTGTTTATGTTCTAGTATATAGCATAATAACAGATCGTTCAGGCATCTTGCTAGTATTTTTCTTTTAATTTTTTCAGTCTAAATCTAAATTTTATCTGAGGCATTTTTAGATTTAATTTATTTTATGTTTTGATCCATAAAATTAATATTCACAAGTTATTTTTAAGAAACCAAATAAGTTGCCATATTTTAAATAATTTGGAATATTATTATCAGAGTTAAATGTAAATGGTATTTAAGTTTTTATTGAACATTACTAAGGTTCAAGAGAAAGATACATTGAGAGGTCTAGCTGCCAAATATGACGTTAATTTATCCATTCTAAAAACTATCAACAAACTGATGACTGAAGTTATCTTTCCTGATCAAGTAAGCAAAGTTCTACATGTGCTAAGCTATTTTTTTTTACTTTTAGGTTAAATTTGATATATTTTTGTCATTGTAGGTGTTATACATTCCAACAGAAGAGTACATCCACCAGTCAGCAACTTCATTCATTCCTGCTAAAAATAATGAACAAGTAATTATTTTATTAAATTAAATTGTTAAAATATGCATATAGTAAGTACTCTAAATTTTAGACTTTGAGTTTTAGTTCTTATATAATATATATTATCTTATTTATTCACTCACATGAAAGATATGTTTTTTCAAATGAAAAAAATTGTTCAAACTTTTTCAGTTGACAATTTTAAAATGTTCAGTTTTTATTCACTATTAGTCATAAACTGACTGCAGCAAGCAGTATGTAACAAAATGAATTCTCTACTTTGTGTTCGTTTATCAAGCGCATATAACCCAATCAACCTTTTTGTGATTCATTCATTTGATTAGTTATATAAACTAAATTAGTTTCTTTGCTTGTTTTTTTTTTAAATTTGTTTTTGTAAATTTTAGCACAAAATAATTTGTCATTAAATAGAAGCCAGGCCATGCAGAGCGCCTGAGTGCATCCTTCGACGAGGCCTACATCATTCCTCCCCGGCCTCTCAGCAATGAGGAAGTCATCAAAATTGACGAGGAGTGCCACCATAAGTTTGTCAAGATCAAATCCATCTGTCTCACAGATGATGGGGTTATTTATAGTTTGTTAATTCTCTTTGTCTGTTTTTGTGTGTTTGTCTCCCATGAGTTATGAGTTAGGCGCCCATGATTGAATTAATATCTTCATTGAGAACTTTCAAAAATATTTAAAAACTGATATAATCTAATCTGATCACGTTTTTTTTTTTACAAATAGATTTTTCATACAAAAATTTTTTGAGCAATTCCTATGCCTAGTAGTATATAATGAATTTTTTCAATATTTACATAAAAGAATGGCTGCAGATTTTTATGATTTGATCTCGCAATAGTTGGGTGGACAATTTGAAATGAAATGGACTACTTCGTATCATGTCCATAGAATTCGAAAAATGAAAAAATATACATATATATATAAATTTTTAAATGACTTATTGAGTATATTTTACGTTTTCTTGATATGATCACAGGATGAAATACCAGGAATATTATTGATAACACCTGATGGAGTGATGTTTGATCCGGACAGCACGGATCCTGTTGTGATGGAGAGAGGCCCAGATGAGTTTCAGCTGGTTGACTCCATCATGAGCGTTATCAGTGCTGCTGTTTATCATGATGAGACGCTATTGGCGAAAGATTTGTGAGTGTGTGTTTATCTGATTGTGTAGGTTTGCTTGCTTGTTTGTATGTGTCTGTGTGTTTGCTTGTTTGGATGTGTGTATTGTGTCTGTGAGTATGGTTTGTGTGTCTTATTTGCTTATTCCATTGTTCAAAGTTTTTGCATTTTATATTCATTATAGAGGCTGTTGTGAAATCTCATATGGCAATTTTACAAAATGCTTTTATGGTTACATGCTAAATGTTTAGAAGAGATTAAAGAATATTTTTATGACACAACCTGTATAAAAATTATTAACAATGAAGGACATCTTGCATATGAGATAGCATTGTTTATTATTGTAGACTGTCCCAGCTTGCAACTCCATCAACTGTCCTGAAACAACCACCTCACCCTGATGAGGTGGCCACTGCAGTCACCTTCCCGTCAAATATTTCATCTGGTGTGGAAAACAAACAGCAGGTGTCTCTTTCAACAGATCAGAAATTCGAAACAACTAACAACACCACTGATGATAAAAAGATTGTCGGTTATAAGACAACAGATCCTCCACCAGCAGAACAGTCTACACAAATAATTGTCAGTGATCCGAACAAAATTTATGACAACGATGTTTTCAATGCTAGCGATGCTACTAGCAGCAACAAAATGGACAGCAGCCATTCATTTAATTCAACGAAGGTTGACGATGGAAAAGTAAAATCTCCACTCAAGCCGTCCACCAGCTGTGACGGGGATACTGCTAGAGTTCTCAGAAACATCAGCAATGTTTCCGGTAGGAATTTCTCACTTTTATTCCGTTGTTTTGTTTAGTTTATATTATATTGGTACGCTTTGGAACGCTTAGTTTTTATTTGTTTGAATATTTATGTGCTCAATCAAGTTGTTAAGCGATGATGGCATGGTTTGTGTCGCGTCATCTTTGAAATAGAATTATGCGATTCAACAACCATGTCATGCAGTTATACAGTCGGTTGTATGTAAATGTATGTAACTGTATCTGACTTTTTATTTTTATTTTTTGTTGTAATGTGATGTTTTTTTTTTTCATTTGAATTTTTTTATTTTTACATCAACATTGTCTGCATCAGCAGCTTCGTCTTCGATATCGCTGGATGATCAGCCCACCATGAAAGTTTTTCTACGATTAAAAGTACACAAGAACATCGACTCTCTTAAAAATTTCAGAGTCAGTAAAAAGACAAAAAATATTTCGAGACTGGAGTATTGGTTTGCTGTGCCTAACGATAAGTAGGACATTTTTTTAAATTAGCATTTCAATGTTCAGCTGACTTGCTTCAGGCTTATATAGATTATATATCCTCTGACAACTATTGCTAGTGTAAATTGTAATAATAATACTACTAATAATAATAATAATGACAAAATATATCTATGTTTATAAGGAAAATTATTATAAACAAAGTTTTATTTAATTTCTTCTTACTATAACACAATAAGATACATTTTGTCTTCAAGTATTCTTTTCATTTTTTCATTTCCTCTCAAGTATATCGTGTTCCATATCAAATGGAGATGGTTTTTAATTAGTTAATTTTAAAAAACTTAGTAAACTGCCAACCACAAATTACGGCAGAAACATTGACCAACTGTATGCCTTCTTCAAAAAGTGGACCCCTTCAATGGCCAATGCATCAGATTCTGATGAGGCTCACTTCGTCGTCGTTGAATCTGATTCGCCAGTTGCAAATGTTATCGACCAATCAAATGATCTCTACAATGAAATCGTCGAGTCACTCATCCAATGGAAGAAGAGGTACAATTTTAAGAAAGATTGGGAGGTTTGTGTCAAAATTGTGCTGTTAAAATTTATTTCTAAATATATACATGAAGGTTTTTGTTCACTGTTTTGCATTAATTTATTTTTTTTTACATCAGAATACATTGCTTGAAAATTGCTCTTATTTAAATTATTTTAATAAAAAATTATAAGGCTAGTTTTATTTGAGCACCTGTTAGCTGTCTGGATGACAATGGTTATAATAAAAATAATGGTAAAAATACAAATAATAAAATAATAGTAACAACAATAAATAAAAATAGAAATTTTTTTGTCCAGTCGTTGAATTAATTACATTAAAAAATGCATCTGCTAAATGCAGGCACTTCATTGTTTTTGTTACATGTGTCTGATGCATTCCTGAATTATTTAATTTATAAATGTGTAGTTGTATGTATATGTTGAATTCGAATTGTTTATGTAATTCAGTTCTGTTGTTTACAGAATCACTATTCTATCAATCTAGCAACAAGATTACACACACACACTCACACACTCACAACACACACACACACACTACCTGTCTGCCCAGTGACAAACATCAGATTGATTAAAAATACATGTTAACAAACGACTTTATCAATACAATACAATACAAGTGTCCTTTGTTACACGTGTTGAACAAACAGTTAACAGCTTGAGTTTTCTTATTCATCTAAACATAGTTGTTGCTGTAATGATTTAAAGTGCCTTCATGTTAATGTGTCTGTCCTCTATTACAGCATAATGTATGCAGCTGTATATATACATGTCTCATGCCTATTGAGACAATTTCAAAGGTTTCGCAAATTTTTAATATTTTTCATTTATTTCTCATCACCGCCATTTTCATTGTCGTCGCTGTCGTCATCGCTTCCATCGCCATCGCTGCTGCTACCGTCGCATGTCGTTGTTGATGCATAATCAAATTATTCGTTACCAGATCGTGAGTGTTAAGGAATACAGGAGGCTGACCATGGTAGTTGAGATCAAAAAACTTCCTCTTCCCGAACTCTCCGAGGAAAGTCGAATACTAACCAGCGGTCACGTGGGCATGGTCAGTCGAGTGATTATCATCATCGCACTCATCACCACCATCTGATATATCTTTCTTGCTGCTATTCTATTTATCACTTTATTGTTATAAATCTTTTATGTTAAAATCTCTATAAACTTCATTTCAAAAGTTAATTTTTTCTCATTTTTCAGTGATTCATTCTTTTATACAATCTTCCATACATTGATTGAACTCATGACCTCCAACAAAACACTGACCTTCCAGTTGACCTGCAACCTTCCAGCCCTGGCGGAGGGTTTGAACTGGTGTCTGATGTACAGCACGGAGAAGCATGGATTCAGTTTGAATACACTCTACAGGAAACTCTCCAAAACTGACCTTGCCTTCTTCCTCGTTGTCCTGGATACCAATGATAATGTTAGTCCTCCCATCCCATGTCGTGTCAGTGGATGTCTGGATGAATGTTGAAATGGAAGGATTGAGCAAATGGATATTGAACTGATGAATAGATGGGTGGATATTTGAATGATAGCTGAGTTGAGTGTGTTTTTGAATGTTTAAAGTATTGTGAAGATGAATCGACCGAAATGCAATAAATATGCAGTGCAATGCAGAGCAATAAAATGGGCTGGTCACTTTGTTAACTAAAGCTAAGTTAACATCATCATCGTTATCAGAAGCAAAATTGTCATAACTGTTTAGCATAGTAACTACACTTTTGTTAGTATGATGTGCTCAGCATGTCCACATGCAGAGTGCATCAATGATAATTTTTAAAGCAACATCAGGCAGACTCAATAAAAAAAACTATTGCATAATTTTAACTCATATCGAAAATTAGACTTTAGCCAAATGCTTTCAAACTGCGTCTTATCTTTGCTGAATCTACATTGCACATCTTGCTTAAATGTTGTAACTTAGCTTTTTATTTATTTGAAATAAAGTTTTAATTATTTTTTTTCGTATTTGCTGGAAAGATATTTGGTGCATTGGTCGTTGGCAGGTTGAAGATGTCTGATCATTTCTATGGCAGTGGAGAGTCCTACCTGTTTACCTTCTACCCCGAGTTCAAGGTCCTCTATAAACAAATGTTGATGCCTGTTTTTTACATTCACTCATTCATTCATTCATTTATTCATTCATTCATCCATTTATCTATCCATTCATCTTTTCACTCATTCATTTATTCATTCATTTATTCATTATGCTGCATTTTTATTTTTATAATTGTCTTATTGTTATGGCTGCGGTTGATGTTGTTGATTTTATTTTTCTTAATCTTAAATTTGTTTATGACTAATCAATTTGGGTCTTTCAATAAATAAATAAGCTAATAAATTAATAAATAGATTATATGCTCCATAAATAATTGTGCGCGCGTGTGTTTTTGTATGTGTGTTTGTTTGTGTGTGTGTGTGTGTGAGTGCGTGCGTGTGTGTGTGTGTGTGTGTGTGTGTTTGTACTGTTTACAAAGTACTGTGTGCATAACTTTGTTATATATATATAATTTATAGATTTTTTTTACACATGTTTGTGTTTTTAGTTTTTTCATTTTTTAATTTTTATTGATTTCAATATTCCTTTATTTTGTATTAATTATTGCAATCACTTTATTTGCTCTTTGCATTTATACAGCCAATGATTTTTTATACGTATTAGTTCATTCACTCATTCATTTACTCAAGCATTCAACCAGTCAATCATTCACACAGTCATTCACTTGTTCTTTCATTCTTTCATTCATTTATTCATTCATTCATTCTTTCTTTCTTTCTTTCATTCAATCTCAATCACTCATTTGAATGTGTTTTGCTTTTATGTAATGTGTGTAAATTTACACTTAACAGAGATTTAACTGGACCGGAATAAACAATTTCTTTATAAAAGGCAGTCACGATAGTCTTGTCTTTGGAGCTAGCGAGTTAGTTGGACGTTCTTCATTTCTTTATCTCAACTTTTATTCATTTTTTCTCATCATTCTATTTATCTGTCTGTCTATCTATCTGTCTGTCTGTATATCTATCTATCTATCTATCTATCTATCTATCTATCTATCTATCTATCTATCTATCTATCTATCTATCTATCTATCTATCTATCTATCTATCTATCTATCTATCTATCTATCTATCTAACTTATCTATCTATCTATCCAACTTATCTATCTATCTATCTATCTATCTATCTATCTATCTATCTATCTATCTATCTATCTATCTATCTATCTATCTATCTATCTATCTATCTATCTATCTATCTATCTATCTATCTATCTATCTATCTATCTATCTATCTATCTATCTATCTATCTATCTATCTATCTATCTATCTATCTATCTATCTATCTATCTATCTATCTATCTATCTATCTATCTATCTATCTATCTATCTATCTATCTATCTATCTATCTATCCAACTTCTTCTTCCATTATCCAATCCATCTATCATTCCATCTAACTGTCATTGCATTCATTCATTCTCATCTACCCATCCTTCAAATCATACATATATCATTTCGTGACTCGTCATTTTATCCATTTATCTTTTTGTCAATTTATTTTCTCATCCATCCATTCATCGATCCATCCATTATTCCATCTGCCAATCATCTCATTCATTCTTTTTTCTCTCTCTCTTTCTCTCTCTCAGAGGTAACAATGGTTTGTGGTTGGATGCGGATTTGTACCACGGCAGAACGCAGGCATGTCAGACATTCGATAACGAGGTCCTGACGTCATCTGAGGATTTTGTCGTCAAGTGTGTCGAAGTGTGGTCCTTCATCTAGACAAGAATCGCGCGCGCGTGTGTTTGCGCGTGTTTCGCGCGTTCTAAGCGTCATTGATTTCATCCTTTTTCAAGATAGTTCACTGTCATATAATCTGTATAGATACGTATATTGATCAGAAGTGATAATGCCATCTGGCATATCAATAAATTTGTTATCAGAAGAATCATTTAAATTATCATCGTCGTCATCACGTTAATCTTCGTTGTCATCATCATAGTACATAGTAATCATCGAAAAATCATCCACCTCAGCATCATCGTCATCATTGCGATTAAGCTGACTCACTGTCGATATTTTTGGTTTTATTTCATTTCTACCCGTACATTTCTGTACCTGTATTAATTCATTTGTATTAAAAATATCATTACCTACATACAAATGTGCATACATACTCACATGCACACAAACATACGCATACATGCATACATACATACACAAATGAATGTATGCATAAACATACATACTTGTATAAATACAATGATATATTGATACATACAAACTGTGTATACATACTGCGCTTTTGTGTATAATTTTATGCATTCGTTTTTCATATGACCTACCATTTAAACCTTTAGTCTACTACAATTTATACTGTGGTATTGTTGGTATATGAACATATTTAAAGAACAGATTTATGAACATTCTTTTACATTGAAAATTATTACTATATATGTGCGTGTGTGTGTGTGTGTGTGTGTGTGTGTGTGTGTGTGTGTTCGTATATGTGTGTGCGCGTTTGTATATGTGTATGTACGTGTTCTTTTGGTAGCATTCTTATCAGTTGTCAATATATCATCATCTTTTATCACATTCATCATCTCTTGTCATCATCATTTGTCATTATCATTGATTTGCACTTCTGGTTCGCTTTAAACGTGTTGAGTGAACATGACAGTTGGCACTGATTGGAGGATCTGTTTCAGTTTCGCGTACGTTTTTTGCCATCTGTTTAAGTTATTTTTTTTCATTGTATTAGTATTATTTAGTTCTTTTTTCTACTTTTTTTATTTCCTTTATTATTATTTTGTTATAAATAACTAGAAATTGTTTGATGACACAGTAATTAAACGTCACGTGCTTCAGCTTGGAGTTGAACGTTTCGAGAACAATTTTTGTGATTATCTAGCTATACAAAAGAAATAAAAATTAAGGAAAAAAAGAAAAACACAGGATAAAATTTTTTCAAATATTTTTTGATATTTTGGCTGAAAGATCTCACCAACCAGATCATTTCATTTTTTTTACATTGTATTTGGTGCCTTTATTAGTTAAGAAATTGAATTTAATTCCACTTTTAATTACTTCTTAAACATTTTTTTAAGAAATAAAATTGGTATAATGAAGAGATTTTTGGTTCTAATACCACCATAGAACTGCAGTTGTATAAGTATATGCAGTAAATTTCTATTTTGTTGTTATTACACATGTGATTACACACACATATATATATATTATATATATATATATGTATATATAACCTAGTATTGTCCTTCTTATATTGATGTATAGAAACTTGTGCAGAAATTCATTTGTTGTAAAATTGTATTTATACACTGATATATATTTCTAGTAACCAAGTTGGTTTCAGTATCATCTTGTCACAATTCATCATGTTCGCTAGAACATTAGTGTTCTTCATAAACCTGCGGCATTTCATTCAGCCATCCTTGAAACGTTTTGGAAGTCAATGAATCATTCAATCAGTCAGCCAAACACTCATGTGATGACTCGACCAGCCAATTATTGAGTCAGTGACTCGATCAATTGACTATTCAATCAATCAACCAATCAATCATTTAATCACTCAATCAACATACCAGTCAGCCAATCAGATAAATCAGTTCTTTTTCACTCAATATATCATTATTTCAACTCATCATCATTAGTTTTACATTTTCTAAATAATTGTCATCATTTGGACAAATACACACATATATGAGCATACATACATACCTGTTTATATATATATACATACCATTTATATTCATTTATATATACACACACACATCTACGCATACATGTGTGTACGCTTACGTATGCTGCTTTATATAAATGAATGCATATGCTTAAATACAACATATGTATACATATATACATACAATACATACATTTTTTACGACCGACCTACGAAACATATATATATATATATATATATATATATATATATATATATATATATATATATATATACATACATGCATATATATATATATATAAAACCATATATATTAGTATTTGTGTATCTGTAAATATACATACATATATATATTATATATAATATTCATTATATTATATTTAATATTGTTATTATTATGATTCGTTAAAGCAACCAAGATTGGACATCATGCTTATAAATTCATGCCCTATCATTCATAAATTTATAGATGTAATAGTAGTTGCTGAAAAAATTTGTGTTTGTTTGATTGTATTGGTTGTAACATTTACATAAATAAAGTTGTTTAATAGTATTAATTAATTATATTTAAATTTACTGAAATACTCTTGTGTGTGCTGGTATATAAGATGTAGAATCATTTTTCATTACCTACACGATTGCACGTTTTGCATTGTAATCATCATTGTGAATGGTGTGATTAAATATTATAATGAATGTGATGATGACTGATTAAATTCCGTCTTCTTTCCCTAACTTTACTTTGCATCTTAATTCAAAAGTTACAGAAACCAGTTTGATGCTTTCGGGTACTATTAAAAATTGTTCTTTTCCATTTTCATTCCAGTGAATTAATGAACAGCTGCAAATATCTACAAACAGTACAACACTCGCTACGATGTAACTAGTGAATTTCTCGTCAGTAAGACCTGAATCTTGTTTCACTAGGCCCACTACTTCTAAGCGTGAAATCTGTGATGTTTTTTATAATTTCAGATAATCCAGCTGTTTGTCAGATGAAAAAACTTCTTTAAATGCAATAATTAACAAAATTAAAAAGTAGCTTTTCATTTTGATAGACACGTTTTCATGAACCTAAATTTTTTTTATCATTTTCTATTCTCGGTTCCTTTATTTCATTTTATTTTTTTCATTTCATTATGTTTCAACTCTGCTTGTTTCACTTTACGCCTCTTCTTCAAAATCTAGCTTATTTATTTCTTTCTTCTTGTGATGGACACCAGAACACATTTTCAGACACGTCCAAAATATGCAAACAAAATCGGATTTTATACAATGATCATATTATTAATCAATATTAATTCTATGTGTATCCATTAATTCTTAAAAACTTTCGTTCATGGTTCGTGTGTAGGTATCCAAAACCCTGATCTACTTGTGTATATTACGACTTGCACTTGTCCTATTCTTTTATTACATATACGTATTATTGCACCATTTTTACTTAAAAGAAATATTTTTGTCCCATTTCATATTGATTATAGTTGCAATAACATCGATCACTATACGTATACCACTTGGTCTTTTTTATTTTTGAAAAAAAAAATAAAACGTTTTATTTAATATTTTTAAAATTTAAGGATGACATTAAAATCAAGTTTGGAAGATGGGCTCACGAAACATTGAACTTTGAAATAATGGTCAGTAAATTGAAATTAAGGAGAACATTTAATATTTATAGATATAAGTGTGTACGGCCTTTTCCTTGCTCACATTTGCTTAATCGGACTTCAAATCTCTTAATTTTTGCAATCGATTTATTAAATTATTATAAAACTCACTCAAATAATTTCTAATTTTTCTAATGACATTTACAAACAAAAAAAGAAAATGTGAGATGGAAGTTGTTAGAAAATATTAGAAAATGAAAAAAATAGTCCATCTATTGATTAGTTTTTTATTATTTAATGAGCTTGTTTCATTAAACGGTGAAATCCGATTACTATTAGGACGTTGATAACGATGACTAGCACGACAAATTTGTTTCTCCACAGCCACTCCTGTAGATATTTAATAAATGGTAACTTGTATCACATTATCTAATATGCCTCGAGGTCAAACGTTAAGAAAATCAATATCTACTTTATGTATAGATATGTGAAAAAAAGAACAAGAGCGCTCACCAAAATGTCCTCCAGTCGAACCACAACGTTGGCATTGTAACGCCTTTCAAGCTCTTCCCTCTGCTTCATTATTTCTTCTCTCCTTCTTTGGCTCATCTCATAAACAACTTCTCTCGGCAGGACTTCAGTATCTTTCACCACAGACACGTCAGGCAGGCTGCCCAAATCTCCTCTTTTGTACGGAATTTTTGAAGAAAGTTCCAACTCATAGTGCGGCACTCTGGTAGATGATGCAGCTAGCGTAGCAGTCTCTTTGAACGAATCTCGCGTTTTTATTAAAGCGTTTGTGGGTTTAACTCGTTTTCGAACTCCGTTTTCAATAACATATGTGTCGGTTGGCACGTTCATCGATGCTGGTTGAACTTTCTTAGAAGTAGAAGAAAAGTTGAAAAATCCTGTCGATTTTGGCGACGACATTGTTTGTTGAAGTTGTTTGTCACGAGTACTATCACTCATATTTGGAACATTTGAAGAAAGTATCTGGTTCGGTGGCGGTTCTTTTACAATGCTTGGTAAAGATTTTCGTCGTTCTCTACTGCTGACGTCAATTTGATCGTAGTCCCTGCTGTAACCGTACAGTTCCGAGAACGCCTGATAATCGTATCCTGGTTGTGAATTCATGTTGTTTTCATATTGTTGACGATCAAATTGCTGTTTTGGCGGTTGATACATTTCTCTATGTTGTTGCTGTTGAAATATATTTTCTCGATTTGATTGAGGAATATTAGAATTCCAGACAGCCGACGATGGAGCTCCACTTCTGTAAGGTGTAGAAGTGTTACTGTTTTGTATGTTCAAGTTGTTTTGCTTGCTTGACTGTGGATGGAGGTAACCAGAAGAAGCTGGACTGTAGCTAGCAAAATTGCTATTGACACTCACATTGTATGTACTTTTTGTAATGGGTATGGCCTTCATAACTGTATTTGCTTCAACTGACTCCACGGTGTAGCTCCCCTGTCTCGGATTATAAGTTGATTCGATGCTTTTATTAACCAAATTGTTGAATCTGCTTTTATTTTGTGGACTTTGTGAGTAGTTGTCGTTAATATCAGCAAACCCTCCGCTGTTAATATCCATGTTAGTATTTCTAGTGTCGTAACTATCAACAGAATTTTGCTTATACAAAGGATTTCCAATCATTTTCATACCTTTTGTTTGTCTTGATCCATCGTCTTCCTTGAACAAATTTTGACTGGACAATGGTTGTTCATATCCAGAAGATACGTCACGATTAGTATACTGACTTGAGTTGAATTGTGGCTGAAAAAGATCGGGTTTAGGTAGGGGTGATTGAACGAGTCTGTTTTCATTGAGAGCAAAATCTTTCGGTGCCATTGTTATCGGAGATAAATTTGAACGAAGATTTTTATTGCTCGAAATATTGCTAGCATTCGACGCACTGTGTAAACTTTGAGGTTGTATGTGCTGTTGACGTTGAAAGTTTTGGGAATTTGGAATTATTGGTTGCAACGATACTTGAACGTTGGAGCTGGTGACGGTGTTGGTGAAAGCAGGCGGTGGTGAGCTGGACCTCAACGAAGAATTTCCAAAGAGGGTGAATGGACCAGAACCAATAGTTCTAGTTTCGCTTTTTGCACGTTTTCCAATCCTAAAAAATGGAAACTTTTTATGTTGTTTTGAAGTTTGATTTGCCTGGAAATCATTCGGCTGGATTGGTTGGTTGATTTTGTGATCTTGTTTAGTCAATGGCTGAAATTTTTTCGTAAAAAATGATTGTTGTTGATTTTTCGGTGAACTTTCGTTTATATTTTGTTGACGGTTAGCCAGAATTTTGACACCTATGGAGTGATTTATTAAATTAGAGATTTCGATATAATGATTTTTACTAATGTTTAAAAAATAATTTTAAAATTTTCAAAAACCTTGTTGGTTTGCAGTGTACTGTTTTGCTACATTCCTAGCTATCTCGGCATCGCTGTTGGCTTTTCTGACAGCTTCGTCCACTTGATCTGCCTTCACTCTGGCGCTTGTCATACTAGATGGAGGACAAGAAAAAATTTGCCTTCGTAACATTTTTCAAAAGTTGTAGATAAAAACATAACTATGAAATAATCTTTATTGAATAAAATTCTACCATTATATTTTAAAAATATTTATAACTGCAACTTGCTATGTTTGAATAATAAATAAAATCTCTACCGGACATTTGCGATTTCCATTTTCTGGAAAGCCTGGGAGGATGCTTTTTGTGCGGCAGTAGAAGCCGCTTCTACACGATCTCTTAGTTTATTGACTTTTAGGGCAAATAATTTTGAGGTACTCTTACCAGAGCTGACAAGAATGTTGTTTTTGTATTTGCCTTCCATTCTTGTTCCATCCGACAATGTTGTAACTCCATACCCGTGTTTCCTGTTGTTTAACCATTCTCCTGAAAATTTCAATGTCACTAAATGTTATGAAGTGATAACTAACAAGTTATACAGCAATCTCACATTCTAAACTATCAAGGAAAAGTGTTTCTAAAAATTGTAAGATAAAAAGGTTTTGAAATGTGAACATTGAAGATGTAGTTTTTAAGAACCTTCATATTTCACGCCATCCGAACGTTCGCAGACACCATAGCCAGACCTTCTATCATTCTTCCACTCGCCCGAGTAAACTTCGGTCACGCGATCATTAGCCAGGTCGATGTCGCTGCAGAAACTTCCCAGCTCATCGTCAATGTCGTCGAGACTGCTACGTCTCGTGGAGGAAGTTATCGTGGAGAGCGCACTGCTGATCTGACTGAATGCACTGCTCGTGCTGCGGACTGACCCGCCAGAGGAAGCCCTGGAGTTGGGATTGTTTGAGGAACTTTGGGAGCGTGGGTTCAAGTTGGCTCCTTAATGGAATTTTGTTTAAAATAAGTCTTTGTTATAAAACTTACTATTCGTAATTAAAATAATAAACGATTGGAAATAAATACTTTTGCTTTCACACAACGATAACTGTTAAATAAAATAAACTTATAAAAACACAAACAATGTCGCTTTTGAGCTCACTAATTGTTTCATTCATGATACATTCTAGCACATACGTGTTAACTAGATTATTTTATGATAAATTTTAAAATTCCAATGTTTCGCAACGAAAATTATTAATAATTAGATATATGTAATTATTTTATAATGAATTCCAACACTACCCTGGTCAAACAAATCTCCAGCACTCTTTTGTCTTATTAATTTCAATTCATTCGCCAATGTTTTGCGCAGACTCGGTCTTCCCAATCTATCGAAAATTCCGGGCTTTTTATGAGGTTTGGTGTGTGCATCGTCGGTCGGTGTTGTTCTTGACTGAAAATATTCAATAAGTTATCTTTATTTCAACCTCCAAAAAATGTTTAAATGAAATCTAATTGCTTTTTTGCATGAAAAAAGTTGTACTATGAAAACGTATATATTTATACAATACAAAAATTTATAAAAAAATTTATTATTGGAAGAGAAGTTTATCTGGAAACATTCCACAGAAGAATACATTAAAGCGAGCCAATTGATTGTTCTCAAGTGTTTGAAGTAGATGCCAAAAGAATGAAAATGAAAAAGTAGGCAGTTTTTTGATACCTGTAGTACAAAACCTCCTCTGCCCTCCTCCATCCTTTTATCACGATTCGTCGAAATGTAGTTGTCATTATTAACGTTTGCATTTTGTTGCTTGTGGTACTGTTGATGTTTCTGCTGTTGCTGATGTTGTTGTTGATGATGTTGGTAGTATGAGGTCGACGATGATGACGACAGCGTTGAAACTGGACTCATTGGCGATGGTAGTGATGGAGCCGTTTCGTTGCCAGAACGCACTGCCAGTGCATATGGAGCGCTCTGCCTCACTCCGTACCCGTGTCTCACTCCTCTCATGAACTGGCCGTGGAACGTTCCTTATAGTAATAATTAATGCATTTGTAGTTGATAAATTGTGAAGTTAAAAAGAATTATTACAATTTAAATCGACGTTTATGAAACTAGTTCATTTTTGTATCCATGATTTCATTTTTATTCAAGTTCATTTATTTCTATCAATACTAGAATGTATCTTTAAGTGGTAAACTGGGTTTTTAAAATTTTAAAACAATTTGAAAACACATACAAAAATGTAACCTCCGTCGGGATAAGTTTCAATCCCATACCCATCCTGCAGACTGTTGGTCCAGGTTCCTTCGTATTTCAATCCATTTCCTGATACTGCTTGCTTCACTCCGTATCTCCCTTTGCAACCCTGCGACCACTCTCCCTTATAAACATGCTTCCCTTTAGACTCTTTCCCGAGACCATGCCTCTTCCCTTGGATCCACTGTCCCTCATAAGTTTCTCCATCAGTCCATCGATGCACTCCACTAACTTCAAATCCTTGCTGCCACAATCCAGCAAACTCTCCGGAACTAACACTCGTACCGCTGCTGCTCCCGTTCAGAAAATTGTTGCCGGTTGGAGATGTGTTGGGACTTATCTGAGTTCCTGTGACACAAATACCGTATCCGTGAGCCATTCCTGAGTTCCACTTCCCTGCGTACCAGCCACCATCTTCAAATTGGCAACGGCCACCATCTGAATTAAGTTGTTGTTGTTGTTGTTGTGGATATTGTTGTTGCTGATGGTGTTGTTGCTGTTGTTGCTGCTGCTGCAGTTGTTGATATTGCTGTTGTTGTTGGTATTGTTGCTGCTGGTATTGTTGTGGCTGGTATTGTTGTTGTTGGAACGATTGTTGTTGATAAGCTTGCTGTTGCTGCTGCTGTTGATATAATTGTTGCTGTTGCGACTGTTGTTGTTGTTGTGAGTAGTTCATTGTTGTTGGATTGGACGGACTTTTGAGATGTAATTTTATTTAAACATTTTTCATTCAATGCGTGAAATAATTCCAAGTTTCATGAACTCGTACTTTACAAAGTTCACTCCTACAATATAATGATTTTTCAAGTATAAATTTCGAAAGGGGCAAATAATATTTATGTTTCAGTATAAAATAAGCAAAGGTGGAAGCACGTTGGGACTTCGACCGTTCAGGGTGGCAACTTTTTTATCTACAGCCCACATTTTTTCGTGTTTTTTTAAAATAATAAAATATTGAATATTATCAATAAAACATGTACAGAGCTACATTAGCAAGCTGTATTGTTGAAAAAATTAAAAACATTGCTATTTTAATATTTTAACCAACAACAACAACAACAACAACACTGCGCAATAACAACAATGATGATAAAGAAGATGATGACGACGACGACGACGAGGAGGATGATGATGGCAAAGTGTGGATGTATTGTATTATAAGCAACTGATTCTTCTCCTGCACTACAACCAACAACTTCAATGGTTGGAGAAAGAGAGATAAACAGAAAATAAGAGAGAGAAAGAAGAAAATAAAGTGAGAGATAGAGAGAGAGAGAGAGAGAGAGTAACTGGAATATAAAAGCAGCACATTGCTTTCATGTTGTAATTCATATGAATTTGAAACAAATGTATGCAAATTCATAATGCACATATGAATGCACATTTATGCATCAGGATTTATATAGACATTTGTTTTTTTGTTTTTTATTTCGAATATATATATATATATATATATATATATATATATATAATATCCGTGTGCGCTATCACACACCCGTGTATGTATAACATATCTGGATGCTTAACAACATGCAAACAACTTAGATATACTTTTTTTATATTGGAAAAATTTTTATCAGGCAACGAGCTTATTTCTTCATGTTGATGTTACTTAATATCCGCATGTACGATAAATGATTTATATATATATATATATATATATATATATATATATATATATATAGTATGTATTGTATTATATGCATATACTTTAAAACTACATATTTTTATACGCTATGCGTTACTAAGCGTTGCAAACAGGTATTGAATGATGCACATAGCAAATGTGAACATGGGAAGAACGATTGTGCTGTTGAATGTTTTTGTGGTGGTTTCGTGAGTTCAGGTGTACATTTTGTTAACGTTTTCAGTGTTTGTATTGTTATACTCCAGTGTTTTTGTTGATGTCTGTTGATGTCTGTTGATGTCTGTTGATGTTGATGTTATTGTCTATAGAGCCATTTTTAATGTCAGTGTGTTGAACATGTTATTGTCGTCAACGCTAGTTAGATTGCCATATAACATATTAATGTGATTCGCCATTTTTTCAAAGTGTAATACTTTTGTCGAGTGTTATGTTTGAAAATAGCATCATGCTGTTGTTATTAAACCAACTCTCCTTATACATGTTAGGTTGCTCAAAGTCTGGAGCACTGCTAAATCTTCCTGTGACGATCTGACTATTAAGTTGATGTTTTGTTCTTCTTCTTAATAATATTTCTCCTAATATTGGTGTTTTATTTTTTCAAAATTAGTGTTGTTGTATTCCGACTGCATAATTTTACTTCTTCTTATTTACGAAGCGCATTGTTCTCGAAAACATCAAAAGTTGAAAATGTTCTTCAAAGCTTATAAATTTTTCTTTCGCTTCTACGCTATTTGTTTCTACGTTTGTTTTGTTGGTGTAGTTGTTCAAATGAAAAAACAACAGTGAAAAGTTGGTTCGTAGTAGTTAATAATAATTGTTATGATTGTGAAGCTATTTTTGTTGATGATGCTGATGATGATGGGGCGATAATGATTGTGTTGATGTTGTTGATAATGGCGATTAAAAATATCTGTGATGGTGGTTGTGATTGTGATGCCCTTCATAATTCTTCCAAGAAGTGGAAATGGAGGTGCACTAAGAAAACATTATATGTGAAATTTGTAAGGGTTGGCGTCTTTATATTGATAACAAATTGAACAAATAACCAATAAATCTATTTATTGGTTATTTATGGTTGTTCATTTAAACAAGACTAAATAAAACTTAGATAATAATTATTTATTTTTATATTTATCAATAAACCAAAGTTTCATCCGGCTGAATCTAGAGGCGGTTCCATGGGAAGATGCCGAGATGCACCTCACCCCACCAGGCTTTGGAGGAAAAATATTGAAAAACCTGCAACATATTTTAACTTATTCCACTTCATAATCTAATATTTTCCACAGTGCACATTGTCAAATTTAGAGGTTAAAAAGTATGCATTACCTTATCAAACCATAACACCATACTAAAATGTTGGTGTAACATCTTTTGTTTTAAACTCAAAAATTAATGAAGATTAAGCAAATAAAATTTTGGTACACTTAAATACCTTTTGTGCTAAACTAATCAGATAATGGAAAATAAGAAGAGTGACAGTTAACTTTAGAACAGTAGAAAATTTTACACCTCTCCCTTAAATTTTGGATACGCCACTGGATGATGCACACGGTATAAACTTTTTTCTAAATCCTTACTGCATTCCTACTTTCAAAAAGCATTTATACTTGCGTTTTACCCTCTTTTCAGTTTATATAATCGCCGCAAAGTTTGATATCTGCAGATAAATCACCGGTCCTAGACATTCTAATTCCATATTTCAGCGATCGCTTGCGTACGTGTTCTTGATCATGTTCATAGTGAAATCAGACATCTCAGTGAACAACAACAACATAGAAAAATCACTTTCAAATCATATTATTTGCTGCGTGGTGGTTGTAGTTTGGTTTTAGTGTGTGTGTTTTGTGTGTGTGTGGGGGGGGTTGTGCGTGTGTGTGTGCCGTGTGTGATAAAAATATTGCAAGATGGATTGCAGTGAACCTGAAAGAGGACAACTTTTACAACGATCATTTTAATAATAGCCTGCCTGCTCAATTTGTATGGTAGTGTTAACATTTCTTGATTTACTCATCCAATGTTTGTTTTCTCTTTTTCATTTTTTAGTTTTGTTTAAATTTATGGTTATAATAATGGATCGCACGTACAACTGGTTTTCATTGTTTAAAATATAAAATTTACTCTATTTAGTTCGTTAAACAGATGAAGTTAAACATAACATTACAAAGATTTTTCATAGTGATCCAAGAAGACAATGTCTGTGACAGGACCACTCCGAAACTTTTTTAAATATCCTACTTTTGCCAAGTTTGCTTTAAAGTTATTAGTTGTTTCTGCGCATATTATTTCATCTCCCAGTTTGTTCCACTCGTCGGCAACTCTGTAACTGAAAAATTTTGCTTTATCGATCCCTGGTTTTTTTTTAACATTTTATATTTATGCCCCCTTGTTTTGCTGTTCATCTCAAGTTCAAAATATTTCGCTGATTCCAAATTCTTCTTCATAGTGATGATTTTGTATGCTAAGATCAAATCTCCTCTTGTCCTTCTTTCTTTTAATGTTGCCAATTTACAAACTTTTAATGTCTTCACATGGCATTCCGCGTTTAGTATGACGATCATAATATCTCTGCTTTTTACTGTTCTTTTTATCATACCTAGAGCCCTGTTTGCACTATTAGCAGTCTCGATGTATTGCCGCGCTACTTTACCATTCCGATGAATTATCACCCCTAAATCCTTTTCCTTCTCTACATTTTTTAGTGGTGTGTCTCCGAGTTTAAACACGTTTGCCTTGTTGTTCGCTCCCATATGTAGGACTTCACTTTTGTTAGTGTTGAATATCATCTGCCAATCCTCAGCCCATTTGCATATTTTTTGCAAATCGCATGTTAGAATTTCAACATCTTCATCGTTGTCTATAGACACTACAGCAGCATAGTTTTTATCAATTTGTAAGCATCGTTAAGTTAGGAACAGTGATTAAATCATAGAATCTATTTTTTGAAAGAAAACATTAGAAAAATGTGTTCAAAAATACATTTACACATTAATGAACATTCAATGAACATTAGCAATTACTTAATTAGGAGTTAATGTGAAATTCTAAAATTGAAGATCATTTGTGTGAAATTTTTAATTGGAATCTATTGCTTTTTCAAATTTTTATGAAATTTTTTAAACAACTTTCCTATATAAATAACAAATATGTTACTATTTAACAGTTTAAAAGGCCGGTTAGTTTGTTCTATGTTGAAACATAAATTTTTATTTCACATGCCTCATGCTTATAAGATATTGAAGCTAGAAAATGAAAAATCAATATAAATTATGTATCTACACATGTCTTTAAATCATTTTCTTGGATTTTATAAGTAACAAGTTATTAGTCTTTTAGAAAACTAGCAATTTCAATATTATGAATTCAAAACTTAATCTTAACTGAATACTAAACACTCAACAAAGATTTAACAAATGTATTTGTCTGTCTGTATACATGCCTGTCTATGCGTATGGATGCGTTCATATATGCATGCATGTTTGTATGGTAGGTGTATTCATGTGTTTTCGTTCATGAACATCTACAAAAACCCCACATAGCAGTTGAATGCAGTATTAACTGCTTGTAGTAATTGTTCTCCCAAGTTATATTTATAGAACAAAAATTCCTCTTCAGTTTTTTAATTTTCAGTACAAAAAAAATATAAATCCGAACGAACGAAAGAGCGAACGAACGCATACACGCATATTTTTAACTGATACAGATGTATGGATGGTAAATGAACTATAACCAGTGGCGGAAGTAGTGAAGGCCGATGGGGGCCATGATATCTCCCGTAACCAACACCCAACATCAAACTTGTATTTTTTTTAAATTTAGCTAACCTATCTTGTTTAATTACGCAGTTTTTACGAATGAAAATACCTTTTTTATATAAGAAAATTGAGAAAAATTCTGCTATCAGCAAACAAAAAAGGTCTGAGGCCGTCTAGTAATCTAAGACACGTTAAAAAAATTCAGTTTTCGGACGTTTCTCTGTCGAATTGGTCTAAATTCGTCATTGATTATAACTTAAATGTCGCACTGCTTTTTAGTTTTGTGTTAAAATTATTTCTACTAAGAACATTATTATTGATTTCCATTTATTGTTAATACTTCTCTATAACTTTTCAGATGTTTTAAGAGATTCTGCATAGGTCTTAGAATGTGTAGGATAACGCAGAATTCATTCTGAAAGATGCCAATTTGTAGCAGTTAAGTTTATGTCCCGACGTAAGTCATCCATCGTAAAACTGAAGTAAGTTTTTTAATACATATTTCATTTCAAATTCAAACTTTAAAGCTCACAATCATCGTCGCTAACTAGTTTCTCTGTTTACAATTTGAAATGAAACAATTTAACGAGAATGTTATTAACAACGATCAATTTCTCATTGTGATTGGGAGTGTTATAAATTAAAAAAAAATCATTCAATAAAAGAATATTTAAAACAAGACTCACACACACATAAACACACACACACATATATATATATATATATATTATATATATATATATATATATATATATATATATGTTGGTAATAGACCATAATTTTTACAATATTCTATAAATTCTACCGAATGTTTGGCGTTAATATGTTTGTAGTTCGTTTTTTCGATTTTTGATATATATATATATATATATATATATATATATATATATATATATATATATATATATATATATATTATATACATATGTGTGTGTGTGAAAATAAAATGTATGT